TAAGTAAATAGTGAAATCACTTGGCACTTTTGAATACTTCTAATCCTACCTCCCTCAGAAAGACAGCAGGATGTATTGACTATTCAGGGTAGTTTATCAAGGAAAAAAATGATCCCATTTCAAAGTAAATTCAGGTAAATCTGGTGCATAGCCTTCATAGGCATCATTTTTTCCTTCTTGTGTTTCAAATAGATCTCTTAAAAAAATCAAACATCCGTCAATGTTTTCTTACCACGTAGACTGTGCCCTTTATTCTGAATAATGTTGTATATGAATTGTGAGTAGATTAATTTCAAACGAGCCCTAGCAATTCTTGGATTACGGTTATCCCATGAGCAATCTTCTGGGCAACCTCTCGCATTAACCGAGCTAAAACTGAGTCCTGCCGTTGTTTAGATGGCCTTGATGCCTAAATGCAAGTCTACAAAAGTAAAGTGACACACAATTCTCAGCCAACATTGGGGACAGGATGTGCCTCTGCTCCCCTGCAGAGTGAGATGCCTGATGAAAGAACTCAAGCCTCATTACAAGATCCTGGGCCCAGTCACGTAGGTGCCTCTGCGTGAACAATCAATCAAACATCTTTCTGGGACCCTCATTCAGAAGTTAAGATACCCCCTCTGCTGCCCAGTGCGTGTGGGGGATAAAAGGCTGTTCTGATCCATAAATCTAATGGATTATTGAAAGACATTCAAGCAGAATTAGAAGACTATACACACAGACCGACGTTGTGGCCATGCATGAACAACCAACACAACCTATTGCCACATACTGATTGGGAGGGAAACTGCTCTAACCCAAACAAAAAGCAAATCCATCGCCATCCATGAATTCAGAAACCTATAAAGTTGGCTTTCCTACAAAACTCCAGCAAGAACTGAATACAGCCCCACACCCTCTGCTGACCCCACTTTTGACTCTCTAATGCGCAGAGTTCTTTGCTCTGTGGATTATCTGCTAAAGTTTAAGGCAATCTGCACTTTACCGTCCGTTCTCACTGCCTTGGCCCCGGTTCAATTCCAATTTAAGGAAATACTTGACATACTGTCTCCTCTGTTAGCATGCAAACACTCCAGGAATTTGATGCTTTCCAGAATAAGCCATGCTTGTTATATAAGTCCAATCAAAGACACATTTTCAGAACCCAAAAAAAGGGATTAGATCCACTTCGGCTTAGACTGTCTAAAGAGAGCTCTCAGTCATGGGTTTGTTAATGGCTTTTGTGCACATAATGGAAATGGAATCGTGCATTTTTACTAGTTACCCAAGACGTTTTTGGGTATCAGTTCTGGGGGGGGCTCCATCAATCGGCTCTTAACAACGTAGAAAACATCTTGCTGACTAGTAAGTTAGTCATTTCACATTTTGGCATGTACACCAGTGTGAAGTCTAAAAAAACTCGCAAATTTCCTTTATAAGTAACAGGATACATCACTTTAAAGATGAAACGCTTAAGGATTTGTGGCGCCTGTCTTTGTTCCTACTAATCCGATTTTACTTTTGGGATGTCAGCTATTTGGTAAATGTATGCAGTTGAATTCAAACAACACATTTTGACAATTAGTTCTTTAACTCGCTATAAAAAGCATCACTATGTTTTATCCGTAGGTGCTGCACTCTGAGAGCCTAACCTTTGAGACAGATTTAATATTCCATCCATCAGGAGGGTTCCAGTCCAAGCCCTCTCTCTTGTCATTCAGTTTTAAAACTTGAAGCAGTTTTAAACATAAAGTGTTCTTGGAAAGGAGAAAAGAGAATCTGGGGAATGTCCCTGCAGTCCTCAATTTCTGGAGAATGTTTATCCCTTCTTGTTTTAGCCTCGGTCACAGACATCCCTTGAGGGTTTTCCTTTCCATTTATTTTGTCCATTTAAGGTTAACATATTAGGAGTTTTGCTACTGAGAGAGTAAGATAAATAGTCTGATGGAGCTTTCTCAAGCCTCCTGCATTGACCACCGCCGCCTCCCGGTTCACTGGCCTCTGTCTCTTCAGCACAGGTGGTGCGCAGGCTACCAGCAGTTTCTCGGTAATGTGTCATAGTTTTCTGTGTATTCTGAGAAAGTTGGGGGGAGTCAGGAAGGGAAGAGGAGCTGTTAATTTGTACACACTGAAATCCCATTTCAACGTCAACTGGCCTATGAAATCTTACTGTGAACTTCACTGGAAAATCATGGTACTGGATGTTCGGTTCCATATGACAGTGAAAACAATTGGATGGTCTGAAAGCACTACAGAACAAGAATAGCATCTGAATTGTCTTCCGTGTATAACTCTGAAATTAAATTGGGGTGGAATCAGCACTGTGATTGTATTCATTCTTTATGTTCATTACCCTCGCCCTCATTGAGTACCAATGTATCAGTTAATTCAGTGTAGCCATCAAGGATAAAATCCTGCTGAAACTGGTTTGGCTCAGTGGATAGAGCATTGGCCTGCGGACTGAAGTGTCCCATGTTCAATTCCAGTCAAGGGCATGTACCTTGGTTGCGGGCACATCCGCAGAAGTGGGTGTGCAAGAGGCAGCTGATTGATGACTCTCTCTCATTAATGTTTCTAACTCTCTATCCCTGTCTCTTTCTCTCTGTAAAAAATCAATAAAATATATTTTTAAAAATCAACAGTATAGTCCATGTTTCAAAATTGTCACAAAAAGTATTTGCCAATAAATTTGCAAAAGAATTGACTGAATAAGTCAAGTATGATTTGTATAAGAAACAAAAAAGAATCAGATTTAATTAGTCATTTGAAATAATACACATTTTTAAAATAGTTAAGTTTAAATTAATAAAATCTCAAATTCTAACAATGCTATAATCTCTCTCCAACAATAGCTGCTAAATATAAGCAAAACTGCTCTAGATAAATGATGAAGATGAAACCATCTGGTGAGAATTGGTTAAATTTAGGGACTTAATGTTATAAAAAAAAAAAAATTAAAGTTCCTGGAAATAAGTAATTCTCTAGTAAAGCATTGGAAATCTGCTAGAAAAAGGTCCCTAATTGTTACTATTTTCACGCTATTTTATTTCGCCATTTCTTTCCCCACCCTGGGAGAGGAAATAGATATATTACATTTAGCTGGTGCTTGCATTTTAATTTTATTAGAATTTCACAGTAGTAATGAACAAAACTAAGCTTTCTTTCCTTTTTTTTAAATATATTTTTATTGATTTTTTACAGAGAGGAAGGGAGAGAGATAGAGAGCTAGAAACGTCGATGAGAGAGAAACATCGACCAGCTGCCTCTTGCACACCCCCTATCGGGGATGTGCCCGCAACCAACGTACATGCCCTTGACCGGAATCGAACCCGGGACCTTTCAGTCCGCAGACCGACGCTCTACCACTGAGCCACACCGGTTTCGGCAAAAACTAAGCTTTCTAACAGAGGTGAAGCACAATGTCCACAGTGGAGGAAAATGATAGGTGATGAAGGGAGCAGAGCACATGAGGACAGGAGACATGCTCTGAAAGATGGAGAGGGCAAGCACCAGGCAGACAGCCCAGGAAGCCAAAGAAGCTCATCTGGTGCCCTTTGCCTGAAAACAAACATCCTTATCAAAAGTCTTTTTTGACAAATCGTGGCAGATGATTTCATTTCAACATCATCCCCACTCATCCACAAAGTATAAATAAATTTTTAAACTATCAGATGTTAGAGTGCTAATGTACATGGCAACTCAGTGAGTGGTGTAGGGAAGTTCATGTCCATCCAACAGTAGGTGCTAGTCATTAGCAAAGGGAGGGTGGCTGGGATCCAACATCTCCAGAGAGCTCTTGCTCTTGTAAGGTTTGCTTCCTATGACAGCAAGTCCTTCCTTTTTGTTCTTAGGGTGTGGATAAATTAGAAATGCTAAAAGCGGGCTAAGATGATATGACAGGGAAAGAATTAAGTCATCTCATGCGTCATAAAATAATACTCAACACTAAAAAATGTTTTTCTACAATAACCATTGTTCTGCAAATGCTTCATTAAAGTGTGTATTTTTTATTGATTTCAGAGAGGAAGAGAGAGAGAAAAATCATTGATCAGCTGCCTCCTCCACACCCGCTTCTGGGGTTCAAGCCCACAACCTGGTTCATAGGTCGATGCTTAACTACTGAGCCAGACCAGCCAGGCCGCAACCATTTTTAATGACTTCATCTCAATTGTTATCCATCAAACACTTCACTGGAAAAAGCTAGAGTGTCTGATACTGACACAGAAATGGGTTTTGTAGTAAACATTTATTTCCTGCATCTTAAAAATAGACAGATGAATCTCATCTTCCTTGGCTATTTGTTCAAAATATATATTAAGTATTCCCTGGTAATAAATTGGTCCAGTAATAAATAAAATATAACAAATTGAATAATATATATTAGATTTCAAAGTTCCTGGGGATATTTTAAAATTCTGAAAGATGGCACTTTATAACTAATGATCTCTTCAGACTTAAAAAGCAAGACCTTTTAGTTATAAACTGGAGGCTTGATGCATGTATTCGTGCACCAGTGGGATCCCTCAGTTTGGCCAATGCCCTCTCACAATCCAGGACCCCTCGGGGAATGTCAGAAATCTGGTTTGGGCCCAATCCACACAGGCCTGATCCAGACAGGAGCGAGACTGATCTTGTGTGTTGAGCATCTGCCCTCTGGTGTTCAGTGTGCATCATAGCAACCAGCCAATGGTTGCTTAGGCTTTTATGTATATAGATGCTTATGAGAGAAATTGAATTTTTTTAAATGAGAACTTTTTTTTTCATTTTCATCTACTACTGGTCACTGTAAAGTAAAAACTTAAGTTTATAATTATGAGCATAGGACTAATAATAATTGAAATTTAACTTCAATAGAATTATAAATTCTGCCCACCTTATTAAGCCCTGATTTAAATAAGGCTAATGATAATGAAATATTAACTCATATGTACTCCAAAAACAAAACCAATTGCACATTATGATATTTTGTTCCATGCATTGGTGAATAAATTAAAACATCATTTTTTATTTTTTTTCTACAGGGAAACTGAAGACTTTAATAACAAATCCTCCAAGGTCACAATGAATACAGGTATGCCATCTCTGTTCAGCCCTGCTCTCTAAACATCGTCTTGGCCCTAAATTATTAGGTTAGCACTCTGCTGATCCTGAGTTTCTGATTAGATGGATAATGTACATTCATTACTTAATGTCTTTGTCTTTATGTTCTAGTGTTACAACAATCAAAAGTAAAATTTTTGGTTTTATCTACTCTTACTCAATTTTTTTCTGTAAATTGTGTCTTGAAATTAACTCCTATCTACCCTAGGAAGAGGTGGAATGTCGTTTGCATGTATGCATTTGAAATCCTTCTTAGAATAGGCTAAATTCAAAGGCAGGTTGCTCTAGTAGAAAACATTTAAAGTTTCCCATTCTATAAACCCTTTATGTTGACAGTCAGCAGACATTGCCAAAGTTTCCTATGAAATCAGCTTAATTAATCCATACACACAATACATCTAAAGTCATAAGCATTAGATTTTTAGATGTGAGAACAGTATCTCCAATTAGCGTAACAACATGAATGCCTCTGAACTCTGTTATTGTATACAGATTAATTGTAAGTCTTTGTGATACATGCTATGACATGAATTTTTTCCATAGTAGAAATGTTTTAGCATACAGTTTCACCTTTTCTCCCCTGAAATTCTTATATTCAATAGTAAGTAATTTTGGAAAACAACTTTCTCACTGAAATTTTGTAACTTGTGTTTAAAAAATACTGTTTCCTATCTTCAAGCAATCACTGGAAAGTTTGCTGTCTCTTGTTACCAATGAAGGATTAGCAATCACTGGTGAGAACCGGTCTCTAAGCCCTAGATTAAGTGTAGACACATGACCCATTCCCCGTGATACTGTGGCTGCCCCTTAGCAGAAACTTGCCCTAACTGACCTCTACACTTAAGGACAGCTAGCCCCTGTGAATATAGTCAACTCATAGATATGTAGAGCAACAGGCAAAACAGGGATACTGGAGACAGTCAAAATATACAAGGAAGACGTAGAAACCCAGAGAAATTCTAACCCTGGAGATGAACCAAGTAAAGGCATTTGGACAATGGGAAGTGTGGGAATTAGACATGGGAAATAGAAGAAAAACTAGTATTAGGTAAAGGAGGTTGAAGAAAGCAAATAGAATAGACAGCTCGTAGCTGAACTAGGATAAGTTGTGTTGTGACACTGCAGTCAGTCCAGCAAAAGGAAGTTATATTTCCACAACTAATAATAACTGGGAAGACATTGATTTCCATAATCATTCTGAGACATCTTCTCACAGACATAAGTTGACTTAGGACATAACTTCCCAAAACCCTTCACCTTGTGGAATGCTGACTTCCTATCTATTGTAACCCTATCATGACAGATGTATAATATGTGATTATGCTAAAGCTATCATATTCATGTAAAATACATCTAATAATTAGTCCTCCTATGCATTGAATCCAACTGTAATGGGAAAAATAGGCAAATAGACATTTGTATATTTGTTTAGGTCATTAGGGTACTTGAGCCAGGTTTCTGCTATAGCAGCATGACTATACATCCTCTCATGTAAAAGGATTGTGCTTGGCTCCATGTAGAATGACAATTTTGCACAGATATATCAATGAACCTATATGAACATATGCATGTAAAATATGATATTCAAACTTAAGCACACAAAATTGGTAAGAAGTGACAAACCCTTTATTTAAAATTCCAAACTATGACCATAGTGCTATTAAAAAAACATGCCACTTTTTCATATATGTGTAAATATTGCTGTAGGAAGGTAAAGAAAGCATTGTTGCTATCTATCAATAGATCTACAAAATGAAGTACTGGTAAAAATTAGTACTGAAATATCTAACAAATCAAATTAGTCTTCATTATCTACTTACCAATCCCTAAAGCCATATATTACTACTTAAATACCTATGTGTCATTCACTAAAGTTAAGAAAATATATTGTTTTCAAGCAAAGCAGCTCTTTGTCTTAGTCAAATACGTAGTAAGTGTGCCAGAGGAAATGTGTTCATTTTTTACACTAAAGTCTCTGAACAAGGTAAGGTATAGAAATATGTACAAAACATGCTATCTTTCCACTCCAAGAATCTGTGACCCATTATTTTCTAAGGCAAATCTTAGCTCTAGAAGAAAGTTAAAAGAGAAAAACAGGAAGTAATTCTCTGTATGTGCTTTCCCCATGCGAGTGTTTTCAGCCATGGAAACAGTTCCCAAGAATCATGTCTCTCAGAGGAAGAGGCGCAAGTCACTCATGACTGTCGCCGCACAGGTCATTCCGAGGGTGAAGGTGAGAGTGGCACTAGGGTTCTTCAGAATGCCCTGAAGTATGCAAGACAGATCCTCATTCTGAGATCTTAAAAATATCCTTAAGAAATCACAGGAAGTATTAGCACACGAGTAAGTAGAAATGGGATAGAATAGATTTCTCTGTCCCAGCAATTTCACAAATGCCTCAACTTTTCTAATTAAGCTCCTTATTAAACTGTTAATAAAGACAGATTCTTCACTTATTTCATCTAAGTCTTAGAGTTCCTTAGAATATAGCTGTCATTTAACCCAGAGGTTCCCACACTCTCAGGCCAAAAGAAATACCCAACAGTTCCATTTATTAACTATTTAGGGCAAACAACTTCATAAGTACCTATTTTCTGTCAACTCAGAAGCAATTTGAAAAAAAAAATACACTTAAATTGAAAGGAAAAAAAATCATTTTATTTTGTTCTTGCTTTTTTGTCATAGCAATCACCAAAAACTCAACTTTTCAAAGATATAATATCATCTAAAGGAAGAGAACACAAGTTTATTATGGTGAAACTGGAAACTAACTCAGGCTAGTAGTTCATGCAGTATCTAATAGATATTACTGAGTTTTCCAAAAATGTAAACTATCCCTCAAAACCCTCATGAATCAACTGAGGTAGCCGGGGCACCTAAACACAGTTTGGGAACCGTAGGTTCAACCAATGACCTTGAATCTTCTCATTCTGAAATCCCCCCTTTTCATCTTTCTCACTGTTTGTCTTCAAATGTTCAGAATTGCTAGAACTAGAAAATAAAATCTCTTCAAGAGCCATCAGTTCATACTTTCAATACCCTTGACTACACAACCCTGTTAGACCATCGGGGCTGCTACAACCGCATACTCAAAAACATTCCCTCCATTTATCAGAAACTCTCATCCCTCATAGCTATTTTCAGTTTGCAGAGTTTGCTATATCCCATTAGTGCCTCTCGTTAGCTGTATGCTTCCACCATTTGTGTCTTTCTATGTTGGGCCTTTGAATTATAGTCTTTGATTTATTTGACTTTAAGTTGTTTCATTTTTCTATTTTCATTATTATATGCATTAGGAAACTGTTTTTTTAAACATAGTTAAGAAATTGTATTTTGATATGAGGACAATTCCACCAATTTTAAGGTCTATTGACCTTACTACTTGTGATTTTACCAAAAATTAGTTCAGATCATGCTTCCAAGCATTCTTAAGTTCCTTCATGTTCAGTAAACAAAGTGGATACTTTTCCTTAAGAAATAAACAAAAAGTATAACTGTCTAATCATTACATTGTACACCTGAAACTAGTATAATATTGTGTGTTAACTGTAACTGAAAAATAAAAAAGTATAAAAAAATAAAGAAAAAGAAAAAAATGAGAATAGCATGTGGCAATATGTAATGATTTATGTTATATTGATGGTTACATTATTTGTCTCTTGTAATAACTTTCAAAAAAATTAAACTTGGTTATTCTGGTTTCAGGGGAATGAGAAAAACTATTTATTGCACATTCCATGTACAAAGGAATGTGGGAATGGAATTGGAATCTGTTCATAAATAGAACATTAACCTTTCAATTTTAGAAGTCCTGTAACTCGAAACTTATATCACATTATAATAGTTGGTACCTTTTCACTTACTTTACTTCATGTTGATATTTGCATAAGTATAAATAGGTAGATCATTATATACATGTTCAAAAGTATAAAAACAAGTTAATTTTTTTAGCATGGTCATTTCAATACTGTATGTGTCAATATTGTCTTGATTTCAACTAGGCTAATTATTTCCATTACTTATAGTAACTATGGGAAGACATAGAATTTCCATAATACTATATTTCTTTTTAAGAATTCCATATACCAAATATATCATGGCTATGTCTGTTAACAGCATTTACTTCAAAAGGTGCTTAAAACCATCTTCAGGATTCATAACAGCTAAAACACAGTAAGCCTAATGATGGCTATAAAAGTACATTATATTATGGCTCTTAACCCTGAAAGAGAGCTTATTCATAACTCAAAACGCTGGTTATCTTGCTTAAAAAGTTAACAGTTGAATGCAAATGGTATAAACAAAGTTGAGTTTTATACTTTTATGTTTTCGTTAAAGAAAAACCATCAAATGTTAAGTAAATCCTTTTTAAATTTTTTTTTATTAAAGCATTAGTATCTATTACTAAAACAAACACCTTCTATTTTATTTTATTTTATTTTGTTTTGTTTTGTTTTGTTTTGAGTTTGGGGTAGTTGTAAAATTTGCGTATGGATTCCCTGGTTACTAATGCTGATTGTTCATCTTTCCCATGGATGTCTGGCACATTCCACTTAAAATGCATGAGATTGCATGTGCTTTTCCTTTGCTGTGGCTTCTGCTATGTCATTTTTTTGCTTCCAGATAGCGGTGGGTGTGCTCGCAAACGTGCCGCCATGTCTGTTACATTAACATCTGTGAAGAGAGTTCAGAGTTCTCCAAACCTATTGGCTGCAGGTATAATATCACTAACTGCCACAGTGCCACACTGGAATGGCTTTGTCTGACCTTTCTCTCTTTCCAGAATGATCTTGCTTGGATGAAGAAAGTGACTGTAAATACCCTGTGAATGCCCCACAAGTTCTTACATTTCTTGTCTCAAGAATAGCTCCTATCCCTCCTGACTGTTTTGTTCTAAAAATAAAAAAATAAAAAGCCAAAGGAAACTGAGACCTTGTAGAAAACATTTTAAAAATCTAATTAAAAACAACAGCGACTTGCCAAAAATGTGTTGAGTAACTGCAAGTGTCAATAACTATTTAAGCTTTTGTCTCTTATGAACTAAAGTAACAATATTTAATCAAGAGAACTCTTAATTGCTTTTGTGGTTTGTTTGATTTTAAGCTAAAAACTATTGAGGGGCGGAGACACAGGGGTCAGAGAGAGGGGTTTGTAGGAAACCGAATATTTGTTAATTCACTTCTTCGCCAAAGGTTGCAAACAGGATGATCATTTGTTTTGAAAGAGATCTTAAACCTTCCTTTAATCCAATCAGCAAAGATATTTTTTAATATAATTTAAAAATATATTTAAAGGTATTTTTAAACACCTTGGTGCAATTAAGATTAGCACCGAGTGTATACCTGGGTGCAGCCACAGGTATACATGTACTCTCAAAGGTAATTGGGAGCATGAGGTGCCAGCAGACACAAGGTGGGTATCTCTAACAAATGTCTGTGGTGACTTACCTAAGCTGGTAGGCACAGTCTGCTCCGAGAGGGGGCATGGCTCTGGCAGCTCCACGTGAGCCTGACAGCCCCTGGGACTCCAGACCCAGAATCAGACCTGCACCTCTTGCTGACCGATAGGTTTGATTCTTGGCTGGTTCCTTGCGGGGGAAAAGAGAGGTTTCTTTGTTTTTTATTTCTATTTGCATAGTTTGGGAGCAGAAGTGGAAAAGGGACGGAGAGTACTTGAATCATTTTAATTCTCACGGTGCACACCAATATCTTGAACACACGTACACGTAGTTGTTGATTAAATGCTCAGAATGTCCTTGGTCCTGAACTCTCCCATGTTGTTGAGGAAAAACAAGCTTCCATCTGGAGAAACCCACTCCTGCCCACCACCTCCAATCCACACATGGATTTCAATGTCCAAGTTTCAATAGCAGGCCAGGTGGTTCCACAATATATTATATTTTTTTAAATGTAAGTTTCATTGCAATGTATGTAGTACCATCTCAGTTTAGTTAAAAATATAGAGAGACACGATAAGCCTTTCAAAGTTCATTTTATTTTGCCAAACCACCTGGCAGTCTCTGGTAACACTGCAGAGGATGAAATGCAGTGGTGACCATTCCCCAGGAAACAGCACCTGCGTGTTTTACACCCTGGGAAAATTCATGTCTGTAACTCACATTGTCCTGAAGAAGGAGGAGGAGGAGGAGGAGGAAGAGGAGGAAGAGGAGGGGGAGGAGGAGGAATTTATTGTTTCCCTACTTCTCTGAAAACTTAATCATTTCCTAGACTCCCAAAGATTTGTCAAAATTAAATGAGGTTAAATGAAGAAAACAAATAAAAGTCTTATCCCAGTACTTAGAGGCACTGTAGGCATTCAATTAGTTGGCTTGAATTTAACTAATGGGTTTAAATTAATTCTTGCAAAGTAATTGAGCCCTCTAACGGAAGGAGTTATAAAATTTAAAATCACCCTAATTTTCAAGAAAAATTGAGTTTATTATGTCTAATATACCACATCAGTTAAAAGGAATTTAAACGTTGGAATCATAAAGTTGGAAAGGACCTCTGAGAGCATGGAGTCCAAACACCGACCCTGCAATGAGCCTGGACAACCTCTGTGACAGTATCCTCACCTCCCTTCTGCTGGGCACAGGGAGTGCTCATGGTACCAGTGAGAGGGGTCATGGCTCTTCATTCTCAAAGACACTATTCACATCTGACCCAGTCACTCGTTCTTAAATTTCAGAGACACAGTAACCATCTACTAAAGAACACTAGAAATTTAGAACTCTGATCCCTAGAATTCTGGCTCTGTTTTTTTACAATGACTGATCATAAATAATATTGAAGACATTGGACAAAACCATCTTCCCCATGCATCTGTCAAGTCATTTATCAGCTCAGTAGTTTTTTAAAATTTATCTTTATTGTTGTAAGTATTACAGATGTCCCTGTTTTCTCCCATTGACCCCACTCCCACCCCCTCCCCAGGCCTTCACCTCACTATTGTCTGAGTCCATGGGTTATACATATATGCATATAAGTTCTTTGGTTATTCTCTTCCTGCCCCATTCCCTTTCCTCTAAGATCCATCAGTCTATTACATGCTTCCATGTCTCTGGATCCTTTTTGTTCATCGATTTATTTTGTTCATTAGATTCCACATATGAGGGACATTATGTGATACTTGTCTTTCTCTAAATGGCTCATTTTGCTTAGCATAATATAGCTCAATAGGTAGGTTTAACAAAAACACACACACACACATATTCTCTTTACTTGACATGGACCCAGGATGCTTTCATGCTTTCTGTCACCTGCTTCCAGCCACACTCGTCCCTCCTTTCCTACCCTTTCCTGGCAGGAATGAAATAAAAGCAGGACTGAGGTCAACAGTATCCATGTGGGAGCTATTTATCTTTCAATGCCTCTGGAGAACTACAATAAAATAGAAAATCAGGATTGGGTGCTTTAAATATTATATTATAATTGGATTTATTTTTATTTTTTTAAATATATTTTATTGATTTTACACAGAGAAGAATTGAGAGGGACAGAGAGTTAGAAACGTCGATGAGAGAGAAACACCGACCAGCTGCCTCCTGCACACCCCCCACTGGGGATGTGCCCGCAACCAAGGTATATGCCCTTGACCGGAATCGAACCAGGGACCTTTCAGTCCGCAGGCCGATGCTCTATCCACTGAGCCAAACCAGTCCCGGCTATAATTGGATTTATTTTAAATGAACTGCAACACTATACATTTGAGTGTCCTTAAGAGACCATCCTCTTAGGTGTGGACTTCCATCATTAACATAAACTTCATTAAAATACAGTTCATCCTGTATTTTTATTCTTTGTCCTTTATCGTAATTCTACACATTCATGTCTCCTATGTTGAGCAGGATTTTTTCAGCAGAGCTCATCCTGTTCAATAGCTCATATTTCCCATAGCACAGGTATAATTTCATTTAGAAATCCCTGGGCTCAGTATTGAGGGGAGAGTGGAGAGCCCCTGGATTCAGCTTATAATGACTCTTCTCTGATCACACTTACGGTCTATCCCACTCACTGTTCCATAATCTCTAATGCGATCACCAGTAAGAAAAAGAACTGACCCTCTACAAACCATCAGTCAGAGGAAGTTTATTTCAAAGTATCCTTCAAATCTTCTCAATATGCCCTCCTCTTCCTCAACCACGCCTATCCCTCTTGCATCTCCAAGCATCAGGCTCCTATAACCTCCATCCCCAATACATACCCACACATCCTTCTTTATAAAAACCCAGTTCTATCAAGCCAGAGTAAAGTGAAATCCCTATTCTCAAGCATATAACTGTAATACAGATAATAATAATAATAATTACTATCCATACTGCTTGTCTTTTCATTGCCGTTTCTTCACGTCCCAAAACTTGTTCCGTATCCACGAACAGTGTGTGGTAACCAGGTGGTTATTAAATCTCTCCCCCTGACTGCTCACAGCACAATTCTAATTGCTGCTCTGTGTGTTACACTGTTTTCTTTATGGAGTCCTCAATATCATTTAAGTGATTAAGTAGTGCAATCATTTCTGCTCCCATCAAATCCTGGAGATAGTCTAGGAAGCATTTCATATGTAACTCCTCAAAGTTATTTTCACTGCACGATCCCCGTTTATCACCCTGATTTGAAATTTACTGGAGTAACGATCCATACTAAATTAGCAAATATCCTCTTTTAAAAAATGAAGATTTGTTAGTCTGCTCTATCGCATTTGAGTTGGAGTCATTCTAACATACTCTGTGCTGGCTCATTTATTTCTCTTTCTTTGATTTGGAAAGAATCTACATCCGATATTTTATCTAAACTCAAACTCTTGCATTTCTCAGCTAATTTTTATCATTCCTAATTCATGTGTTTAGATTTCAAAATAGCCATTCCTTAAGCATTAAAAAGAAAAGAAAGAGTCTTTATTACACATAACATTCATGTTCTATTAGGCATTGAAATAACAGCAATTTAATAATGGCTCGGGGGACATGTAGAAGGGATCCAGGACCAGGACAGAGGTGAAGCTGGATGACCCCGAATGCCTTCTCAAAGTTAAGGCTTTCTGATTCCAGGGGAAGTTGGCCAAGTGACATAATAGAACCGAGCAATGCGAATCAATTACCTCCAATGTTCCTAAGTTATAGAAGATTCTTGAATGTGTGAGTCCAGAAAAACTAATAGTAAATATGTCGTTGAGCCACTTTCTTCCTGCATCATCCAAAGAAATTTCTTAGTGCTAAATTTTGTTTTCCACAGCTTACTGCAACACAATGAACTACACTGTAACAGCTCTTTCATATTTGAATAGAATGTGACTTTAAGTGGCAATAAGAAGAAAATTCAAAGTCTAGAGGATGATTTGAAGTATCACATAATATGGTAGACACATTTGATCTTTCTACAAATTAAAAAAAAAAGTCAAATTATAAAGAAAAAAAATTATTGCTCTCTCATACAGGAGTTGAATATGAAAATACCAGGGCATCAAAAGCTAGGGATCCAGAGGTTTGATTTAATGCTGGAGAAACACTCATTGTATACAAGCCAGATACCTTTTGATGCTTTAAATTGATATTTAGAAATTCATACATCCTGCATGGGCAATAATACGATAAAATTACTGGTTGCCATAACACGGGGTAGCGGGGAGGAATCAGTGTTTTATATATGCGTTAATTATAAATTATGGTTATATAATGAATTATATTCTAATTGAAGTAAGAAATTAATGTACAAACTTCTCATTGGTGTATTTTATGTACCCAGAATTTTAGAACTGAGATAATGTTGCCCCCCTCAAAAACATGTAGTTCTTTGGCAAACAATCTTACTTGATTGTTCCTTTCCTTTACCCTCATAGTAATTTGAACATTTCTTTTTTTTTTTTTTTTTTTAGGGCGTGATTCTCAGTCACCAGACTCAGGTACAGAAAAGCTCTTCTGGATAAGCATTCCATTTGCTGTTTTGTTTTGTTTTTTCTTTTCTTTTTAAATGTGTGGGGTTTTTAATAGATTTATAGAGGTGGGTAAAGAGAGAGGGAATGAGAGAGAAAGACAAAAACATTATCGATTGGCTGCCTCCTGAACACTTTCTCCTGGGGATTAAGCACACAACTCAGGAACGTGTCCTGACCTGGCATTCGAACCAGTGACCTCTTGGTGCACTGGAGGACACTCAACCCACTAAGCCACACCGGCTAGGGCGTTGTGAATTGTGTGGGGTTTTTTTTTTTTTTAACATATTCATAGCCACATTGGGAACCTCGCAGTAAAATTAACTTGCATGCACAGTATGCATATCGAATTAAATTAAATTTCTAAAGAAAACTTCACATTTATTTTTATTTCAAAAAACGTTAAAAGTGAATGCAGATATGTTTGTATCCAATTTGTGTTCCCTTAATAAAAGCTTGGAGATCTTACAATGACCAAAATCAAGACACACTGAACGGAGATGCTACGTATTCCTCTCTTGCAGCAAAAGGCTTTAGAAGTGTCCGACCAAACCTACAAGACAAAAGGTCGCCCACTCAGGTACTCCCGCGTACTCTTTGTTGTGTTATTTGAAAGCAAGGCTGTTAGCCCTCTACATTAGCATCTCTTTTCTAGTCATAGGTGCATATTTGGTACATGTTTTATTTTTAATATGTTTTTACTCTCCTATTCGTACTGTTGGTCAGACTTGTATAGACAATATGGTAAGCAAATCTTAAGTTCAACACAGGTTCTTTTTTTCATTAGGCTGATAAAAGCAGGTCAGTTAGTAACATGATGTTTAGGTTCTTTTCTGAATTACAAAAACGTTATCAGTTGATGATTTAGACTTCAAAGTAATGAGATCAGCAATCATTATACACTTATAAATATGAGTCATGCAACTGTTCATTATAGGAAGGAATTGAAGATATAAGCAAAATTGTGCTGCTGCATAAGAATTATCAAAACAATGTAACTAAAGTGTGTGTGTGTGTGTGTGTGTGTGTGTGTGTGTGTGTGTGTGAGTATGTGTGCTTCAAAGCCTGAAAATATGCAAGAGAACAGGTGTTCACTTTTAAGGTAATTTCCCAGGATGTAGATGGAGACAAACTTTATAATGTATTCCAAATAAAGACTATTTTCCCCTCGAAGGCAGCTTTTGATAATAAAATAAAACGCATTCTTGATGGAATAAAATTGATCAATCTAGCCAACAAAATGTATACCATGATGAGAAGGAATGACATTGCTTTAGCCTCTTTAAGGATGGCGTGAACACTGGTTTCCTTCATGACTAACTTTGACTTTCTCTCTGTTTTTCTTTCAACATCATTTCTTTCTCCGGATGCTTTTGGCAATCCAGGCACCCCTCCCACCACTCAGAAAAGAGAGCTTTGGTAGCTCCTTGACCACCAGTCACACCAAGAGTGACCTTTTAGACCCACGAGTACCTAACACACACGTCCCTTCCTGTTCAGAGTACTTTACCAATAAAACACTTCTTCCAGGAGCTGTGCACTCTGATGAAGACGAGCCAGGCCAGACAATCGTGTATTCTGAAGAATCTAACACGACTGTGTCGTACACACAGAAAATCACTAACCTGCTCCCAGCAGCTCCCGGCACAGGTTCCCCACCCAATGCTGACACAAGTAGTGCCCCATTCCTACAAGAGGACTACATGCAGGATTCTCAAACGCGGAAAATTTCTACACTGAAACTAATCCATAACCAGGATCCAGGAAATAGCATCCCCTTTAATACGCCACCGTTTTCCAAATCTGCCGACCTCCCATCATTCCTCAAAAGGCCCTGCTCACCGCCCCCTAACCCAGTGCCCGAGAAACACACAGCATCTCTCTCCATTCAGATAGCTCCCCTGTCAGGACAGGATCCCGAAAGCCACAAACAGCTACCTGAGCTTTCTCCAGAGACTACAAAGATACCTCTTCAGCAAGAGAGACAAAAACCTGCAGTGGCTGCGACCGCTCAGTCCTCAGACTGCCGGGTGATCCATTACACTTTCCAATCTCTTCTGACAGGTGTCCTGCAGAGACCCTAACCCCTTGGCGCTGGGCTGCTTGCCTAACCTACTGCTTTGGTAGTGTCCAATCAGGAAGGGAAAGGAGAAAGAAACCATCCTCCCATTTATAACCCTATGCAATCCATTAATACATTTCTAGGTTTCTTTTTTTATATATTTTTATCGATTTTACAGAGGAAATGGGAGAGAGAGAAACATCAATGATGAGAGGAAATCATTGATCGGCTGCTCCTGCCCCCCTCCCCACCACTAGGGATTGAGCCGGCAACCAGGGCATGTGTCCTTGGTTGGAATTAAACCTGGGACCCTTCAGTCCACAGTCCAACGCTCTATCCACTGAGCCAAATCGGCTAGGGCACTCCAAGTACTTTTAAGTGTTAAAGAAATGTGTTTCATGCTAGATCTTTACCACCAAAATTTTCTTGATTCACATGCACAAAATCTCTTAACTATTTCCCCCCGTGATTCAGATGCCTCAATCTGTTTGACCATTTTAGGCCACTTGTCACCCAGGTCTTAGGCAGAAACTATAAGGCTATTAAGACTTCTGTAAAAACAGTTTTTATTATGAGGTTATAGTGCAGTCTTGAATCATGAAAGGCAGGTGGTACCGCCAGGTCTTAGGGGAACTGGAGAACATTAGCTACTCTCTCTCCACCCAACATATCATGTAGTTCCTATTGTCTCTCCTCTTTCTGAGTTGACCTCGTTCTCAACTCTCAGCCTCTGCTCTCCTATTACTTCAAGTTGCCTGTGAATGTCCATGACATGCTCTGTGGTCAACTTGCATCTACTGTTCTGGGGCACAAAACTCCCCAACTGGGACATTCAGTACATATACAGAGTGGCCAGATTATGATGGTCTCTGAATGCATAATAATCTGGCCACCCAGTGTATATGCTATATAATAAAAGATAATATCCAAATTGTCCTTTGACCAGGAGTTCAACCAGCAGGCAGGCTGGCTAGTCACCCAAGTCCCCTCCCACTAGCCAGACTGGCCAGATCCCACCCATGCACAAATTCATGCACCAGGCCTCTAATATATATACTGAGTGGCCATTCTATTATGCGTTCAGAATTCATCATAATCTGGCCACTCAGTATAATTCAATCCCAAGAAGGAGGCATGCCATCTGGCCCAGGTTAGTTCAGTTATTCCCCTTCCTGACCAATAGCTGGGGATTAAGCACACAACCCAGGAACGTGCCCTGGGTTGTGTGCTCAATGTGGCCAGTGAAATAGAGCAGTCTAAGTATACAAGTGTCTGCTGGATGTTTCTTTCTTGTCCCCAGAGAAGGCTGTCAGAGAGGATGTCCATTATCACAGAAGGAGATGGGTAGGAGGGAAAGATTTTCTTTCACAAAAATGCGTAAATCATTTATTTTTAAATTACCATGGAAACTTTAAATTGTAACAATGATATAGATAATTCTATCATTATAAGTACCCCTCACAAGGCACCAGCAATTTTTATTATTTAATTTGTTTTCAACTGTCAACTCTAATTATCCTGGTAGTAAAGTCAATATAAGATCCTTAAGTTTGTAAAAATGTTAGTACCTATATCTAATAGGTGAAGAGAAAAAATAAGGCAAATACCCTTGTGACAACTAATACAATACAAATAATTTCTTAGTATAAAGATTTTTATAAGACTCCTCCCTAGGTATTTTCTTTTTTTAAATTCATTTTTATTGATTTCAGAGAGAGAAAAGGAGACGAGATAGAAACATCAATGATGAGAGCGAAGCATTGATCGCCTTCCACCTGCACAACCCAAACTAGGGATCAAGTCTAAAACCCGGGCATTTGTCCTTACTGGGAATCGAACTGTGACCTCCTGGTTCATTGATTGACACTTAACCACTGAGCCACCATGGCTGGGCTAGGTATTTTCTTAAGTACATTACTGTCAACTGCATTGAAAGGAGAACAAAATCCATCGATTCCCCTTTCTGGGTATTTAACGTATTCTGTGTGTTCCTTGAGAAGTGAGACCTAGAAGCTCAACCATTACAGAGGTTAGAAGGGGAGTGTTAAGACTACAGAGCACAGTTGCATGATAAGCCAATTGGAACCAGAGACAGAAAGAAAAACATGTCCCCATATATATGTTTTTAGGTATTGTTAATTTTTTTCTAGAACATTTCAGTAGTTTTAAAAATATTGAAAAGTAGAAAATTAAGTGCATTAAAATTGAACATTATTTCAAGTTTAAACATTTTATTTATACCAAAATTAAATTTATTGTTTTTTACTTCATTTTAAACTAGTTAAAAATTATGTAACATCGCCGAAACCGGTTTGGTTCAGTGGTAGAGCGTCGGTCTGCGGACTGAAAGGCCCTGGGTTCGATTCCTGTCAAGGGCATGTACCTTGGTTGCAGGCACATCCCCGGTAGGGGGTGTGCAAGAGGCAGCTGGTCAATGTTACTCTCTCATCGACGTTTCTAGCTATCTCTCTCCCTTCCTCTCTGTAAAAAAACAATAAAATATATTTTAAAATAAAAAATAAATAAATAAATAAATAAATAAATAAATAAATAAAGTTATGTAACATCATCACTGGTCTTGGTGAAATTATCAACTATGGCTATTCTCTCAATTGAAAATGAGATCAGGAAAATACAGATTTTGAAAATATTATTGTATTATAATATTACTCAAGGCCCCGTGCACTGGTGGGATCCCGCTGCCTGGCCTGCACCCTCTTGCAATCTGGGACCCCTTGGGGAATATCGGAGAGCCAATTTCAGCCTGATCCCCGCACGCCAGGCTGAAGGACCACACCGGTGCACGAATCTGTGCACTGGGCCTCTAATATGCATATAAGATCTTTGATTAATGTCTTCCCACCCTCCTCTCTCCCCTCTTCCCTCTGAGATTCATCAGTCTGTTCCATGATTCCATGCTTGTGGTTTTCTCTCCTGCATTGAGTGTCTGCCCCCTGATGGTCAGTGTGCATCATAGCTACTGGACAGTCAGCCAGTAGGCCTGTCGACCAGTTGCTTAGGCTTTTATATGTATACTAGTAGCCCTGTGCATGAATCCATGAGATTTACGTCATTAAATTTCTCCTTTTAATTGTATTAATATTCTGTAGTACTTTTGGCTATCTACCTTACCACTGGCACCACACCAAACAACAACAATAAAACCCTCTATTCTGAAGGTGTGTCAGGGGGAAGGGAGGGAAAGTGTCTTTATACCTTCAGAGTTTCATTTACTCGTGTTAAGGTTGATGCTTGTCATTATCCTAGGGGCCCAGTGCACAAAGTCATGCACCTTGAAAGGCACTGTGGACCGCGAGGCTGCTGTGGGCACAGGGGCAGGTCTTGGCTCATCCTCTGTGCCCCCACCTGGCCCTTTCACCTCGGCCCCTGGTCCCTGTCTGCCAACAGCCCCACTCCCACCACCGCTGCTCCCATATGCCGACAGCACTGGCCCCTGCTCACACCTGCTGACAGTGCGGAGCGATTGGGGCCAGCACCAGCAGTGGGTGCAAGCAACAGCTGCTGCCCCAAGCACCCCTCAGGAGCAAGGGAAGGTGGAGAAGCCCTCAGGGACGACTGAGACCACTGCCAGGTGCTGGCCGCGGGTGTGAGCAGCAGCTCCAGCACGGCTGTGGCTGCAAATAGAGATAGTGCCGGCAGCAGCTGCGAGCGCTGGGCAGGCCTACAGCATGCAGAAGCAAAGAATTTTCAGTAACCACCAGAGGCTCTCCACAATAACAGCGACTGGCACCCTGCCTTGGTCTGGCGCCTCCCACTCACCTGCTCCACCATCCCACCTTGGCTGAAGCCCACCATGTTCTATGTGCACCCCCTGGTGGTCAGCGAATGTCATAGTGACCGGTTGTTCAGTAATTCCACCGTTTGGTCTATTTGCATATTAGTCTTTTATTATATAGGATTACATATTTGTGGCCAAAGAGCTCCAGACCTTTCATGTGCCCACTCCACCCTTCCTTTAACAAAACCCTCCACTTTGTCGAACCTGCTGAGTCATAGCCTTTTTGGGAATTAATCTTTTTCTTTCTCCTTCAGTTTCTTTCTCCTTTACCTATTATGTCTTGGTAGGTAAACCAACAGTAGTTCTTCTAACGAACTAGGCTCTATTCTAACCATCATCAGTGGCTGGTTTTCTCTTTCATGTCACGGTCACACCTGGCTACCACTGTTTGCATAGTAGGACATTTCAATGTTTAATTCTTTTAGTATTTCCTAATGAAATCAGGAAAGAGATTCAGTGAGTGGAAAAGTAGACAAAATTCCCTTTCCCTTTAATTGTTTTGTTTTTTTTTTAGTTTGATCAGTCCTTACGTATATCTTCAATCATAAAATAGTAAACAAACTGATTTATATTTGGGGGACATTTCCCAGGATGGGGCTGGGGGCAGTAGGTATGATACAAAGATTTCTCTAGTGAAGGGAAAAGTAATTCTTTTGATCAATAGATGAGATGATGGCATTTTACTGTCACAAGTACAAAACCTAAAACATTTGAGGAAAAAATTCTACTCTGCCGACCCTCTCAAGCTCCCACCCAAAAAGACCATGCAGGGCTGTGAGAAACCTGGTCTTGCCTCCAAAAATCACTTTCCTCGTGCTCTCATGCTTTCTCTATGCTGTGTGGTGGACACCTAATCCTCTGAATGCATTTCTTTCAAGTGCTTGCAAATAAAACCCACGATTTGCCTTCTCTCCACATTACAAATAGGTATTTTCTTAACTGGATCATTTATATCTCCTCTTATTGTTTCTTCCTGAAACTCAGCTTGGAAACCAGAACTTAACTGCCAGTGTGCTGGAGGTAAATGCTTCACAGACACACAGACCTACCACACCACAGGCTCTCCCCATTACCCCTTCCATGCCACCTTTTTTTTTTTTTAATATATTTTATTGATTTTTCACAGAGAGGAAGGGAGAGAGATAAAGAGCTAGAAACATCGATGAGAGAGAAACATCGACCAGCTGCCTCTTGCACACCCCCTACCGAGGATATGCCTTCAACCAATGTACATGCCCTTGACCGGAATAGAACCTGGGACCTTTCAGTCCGCAGACTGACGCTCTACCGCTAAGCCAAACTGATTTCGGCCATGCCACCTTTTATCCGAAATACTCAGACCAAAGCCAGGCCTCAGGCCAGCACCCCGTGCCCTGCCTCCACTTGCTGACTTGGGGCTTTCACACCTGCATGGACTTCTGTTGACAGAAACGCCTCTCCTTGCTTTGCTCCTGACCACCTTCCCCAGGCAGCACCGTGGACTCCCACCAGAGACTCCTCCCAGTGGAGGGAGTGCTCCCAGCCATCCCAGAAGAGTCCCAGACAGCTGACTCTCACACCCACAGGCGTCCTCCTCAGTGGCCCCGCTGCCAGGCATGGAACTCTGCTTCCTCCCTCTGGCCCCGTCATCTTCAAACAGGTCTCCAAAGGCCAGAGGACTGAGTTCTTGTCTGCCATCTCCTTTTGCTGCTGAGCATTTTATTCCCACAGATGTTGATTACGGGTAAACTGATTCTAAGTAGTCTACCAGGAAATCCATGACAGTATGTTTCCATTCTCAGAAACCTACTGTGGGCCGAACCATCAGTTACATTCCCTTCATTCATGTTAGAGTGCTTCTGGTTCACACGGGTTGCTCTAGTGAATGAGTTGGACAGTGATTTGCCTTAGGAAGAAGTCATCTCAGAAATGTAGATAGGCTCACATACAATACTATGGTGACTGGATTATAGAGAAACTAACATTTTCCAGAAACATTAACCCAGTATTAGATCATGGCAGGTAACGGTTTAACTGGGAGATTCATGTGAGTAGTGTATGTCCTTCTTTCTCGCCTTCACGGTTACTGACTACATTGTGCTAATGCCTCTGGCTCCCCCCCACTAACACCTTCATCTCCTCCACCCAAACTGCCTTTCTGGACTGAATGATGTCAGTGATCCTCACCTACCCTGCAGAGATTGGGCCCTGTCATATTTTTGGAATTTTTTTCTTGAGCCATTCCAGGAATAGAATTTTATGAATATTTATGTTGTTTCACATACCAGTAATTTATCTTCCATTTAGAGCAATGCATATTTCCCAGGTATATTCTATCATTTTGATGTCTATGTGACAAGTATTCTCTACTAAATGATTTATGAATGGTTAAAGTGCTTTAAAATTTTATGACACAGATTTTCAGTTGCATATAATGTGTGGATAATGACTTCAACTTGAAAGGCATATAATTCTAGGCAAAAAAAAATAGGAATATTTTTCCTGAAAAAATGATTTTGTAATGAAGTTTTAAATAAGCACTGTCATAGACAAAATAGGGTTTAGGGTGACTTTTTTTTTTAAGTTTAGTAACATAGTACCATGACAGTTTTAAATAAAAATGTTTCTGTTTTTAACACGGATTATAACAACAGTTTTAAAGTTATATTTACAAAAATCAACCAAACTTGATTTGGGCAGGGAGGAAAAATATTCTCAAATAATTCATCCAAGGTATAATTAAAAAAAAATAAAATTAAATTAAAAAAAAACCTTGAGGCTCTGGGATGCCTCTGAAGCCAGTGCCTCGCACTTACTTGCATGCCCACTGCCCTTCGGATAGAAGATCCTCAAGACACAGGCACTGAGGATGTGAGGGTGATTTCCACAACAGCTTAGGAAAGCACCTTCTGTAAGGACATGTTTGATGTTCGGGCAGATGTGGCAGTGCTATCAAGTCCTGAAGTTAGGTCTGTTCTAGGTCATTTGAAACATCTGCTTTCAAGTAGAAAAATCATGAAAATAAGCAACTAACTGCATCTGTGTGTCAGGCCTGTAGAATTATTTATTTTGCGTTAAACTAAGTAGAAAAAGTTCACAAATTCTGTGTATCTATGTGCATATGTGTGTTTGGCATGCTCGGCTGTAAGGCCATTTTAACTCCATGCTCTTACCAATGTTCTGTATCGTTGGCATGCATATGTAACCTCCCCAGCGTGTGTGGTCAGAGAGGCATGTTTCATAGCGGCGAGCTCCGCCTCTGTGAACTCAGCTGATTTAATTCAATTAGAATACGTCCCTGTTGACTATCTCCTATGCCCTTAGCATCAGGATGCATGTTAGAAAAGACATGTTTAAAAGAAGCATGTATATGACCACTTCCGACAAGAAGCTTGAAATATCTTTGGGATTAAAATACTCAAGTATAAAACAATCAAAACAATAATTTATTAAGAAAACGAAGCAGAAGGCCCATAAAGTGCTAACTTAGAATGGAGGAGGGAGAAGCCAGCAGTTAGCATGTCTTTTACCAGGTGTTTGGTTCTTCTGGAATAGATTGACTTATGATGCATAAATCCAAACAATCGTGTCCTTTATATGAATAATCATTTTGCCCTGGAAACACTGGTTTTCTTGGAGGGTATCCCTGACGAAGTCTGAGAACCAATCCCTTTCGTCCTGTCAAAGAGCATTCACTTCAGATCTCCATGCAGAGCCGTGTGACGTGCTCTGACCATTTAACTCCAGGCTTACGTTATACTGACTCCTACTGGTGCCCTTGGCATTTCTGCTGGCAGAGCGGCATGCCCTCCTGTCAGCTGCGTTCTAACCACCCCCCGCGCCTTCTGGCAGATAGGAGAGTGACCAGAAATAAAGGAAGAGTGAGAAGACACTGAAAATGTGTCCCTGCCCCTCCAGACATCAGTGTCCAGAGTAAATAAACTGGACAGCTGATGCCTGGCATTGGAATGAAGTCTCTCGTTGTCACAAAGGAGCGATGCTTTAACGGGATCTCCTCCCTTTCCTCAGAGCCAGATCACAGTGAATGGGAACTCGGGAGGTGCTGTGAGTCCCATGAGCTACTACCAGCGGCCCTTCTCCCCCTCGGCCTACTCCCTGCCCGGCTCCCTCAACTCCAGCATCATCATGCCGCATGGCCGGTCACTGGGTAAGTCGCTGGATCATCGTGATTTTCATGACAATTTCACAAGCATGAGCGCAAACCACATGAGAAAAACACAACACATTGGAGCAGCTTTTAGAAAGGAGGCAGACATGTCCACGATTAGAGACCCTGGCCCCAGAGGCACTAGGGACCGCGTGAACTCGGCCTCGGCAGAAGCAGGCACCCAGCCATTCCAAGGCAGTGACTGCTTCTGTGCCTTCCTCAGGGGGAGCTGATTCGATATTTGGGGTGTGGGGGGCCAGAAAGAAAAAGCTGGGCTGTGAGGGAGGGGAGAGCGCACATCCCCAGGAGAACATTCCCAGGGTGCATTTCCATAAATGGTCAATGCCATCCACGTGAAGGCACCCTGTTCTTTCGTGGGAAAACTGTCATTGTAGAAAGTTCTTTTGGTGTCTTCAGGGTTAAAGCAGACTGACGGGAACAGACCGCCTCACACCGCAGTACACGCTGATCTACTGCCTCCCCAAGCGGTAAACTGCGCCAACTGAGGCCAGAAGACCATCCGTCAGGGATGGGAGTCCCTTTGAAGGATGGGGCCAGGATTTCATCAAGACGTAGTCTTAGCCTTTTGGGAATTAAGAATTAGCGAAAGAGAGAGCTTTCCTCCAGATACAAAATGAACACTTGAACATTTATTTTAAAAAAAAAAAAACTTTCCAGTGCATAATTTCACGGGGCTTAAGAACTTCTTAAAGGTTGCTGGAGAAGAAACTGCTATCTATCGATAGAAACATGTTTATGTGGCAAAATATATTACAACAGCTTAGAAGGTCCTCCATTTTCCTAGTTTGTGGGAATGTAAACACATAAGCGAGAATGCTACCAAAAAATAAAACCAACCCAGACTGAATCAGAGCGTCATATGAATTGAAGCTGACAAAAGTGTCATGATGCTGAACCAGGCCTCCAGGGCAGCCGGAAGCAGAGAGGAAGGCAGAGGACCACGTGATTGCAGCCCAGCTCTCAGCAAAGTAGGAGGGGCCCACCCTCTGACCACCAACCAACTAGAGGGAGCAAGGAAGTGGAGCAGAGGGCTCTAACTTCCATCCTCCTTGGTGGCAGCAGCACCCTTATTTCCGCAGCACTGTTGTGTAGGGAAAGGACACAGTGCCTTAGTTTACCCAAGAACATTCGCCAGGTGCACTGTGGACTCAGCTTCTGTGTCCACACAACCTCGCTAGCTCCCAGGAAGCCAGGAGACTCATCAAAGGAAAGTCTAATTATGCTTGTGCCTTTTCTAATGCTGCTCTTGGAATGATTGGTGACTCTTATAACGATGGCCTTTTAGAGTATAAGAAAGCAGAACGCCCTTGTGCCAGGATGTTGCCCTTAATTAGTCACTGGTCTAGTATTACAGTAGGAGCCCATTATATCTAGATTTTTTTTTTTACAGAGCAATGCATTATGACACGTCTGCAGTAAAACTCTGCAAATGATTCTAGCCGTAATATTTTTCCAAATAATTATTGTCAAAGTCTGACGCTTTCACCCCCACTGCTTGCCTTAATGAATACGATTTTTCTCCCTTCACCTCAACAAACAACACATACAAATACTTGAAATGTAGACAAGGTTTTATATCAGAGCGTACCATTGGGTAGACTTTACATATAAACTATAAACATGGAAAGAAATTCTCTATATAAACATTGAACTAATTCCAGTTGGCCAACGCTGAGACAGGGTCTGAGGAGAATGTACAAACCCATCCTGCCCTAGAGAAATTTGATATTTAGTTTAGGACAAAAACTGCAAAAATGAGAGTTAGTGGAGCATATAAGAGCATAATAAAATAAAAGGTCAACTTGTATTATATAAGTCCATAGAATATCATGAACCATAAATGAAGACAGAGTTATTACTGTTTGCCTAGGCTGGAATTTTGCATATATTAGGTGCTCAAAAGTTTGTTTGTTTTACAGAAATACTAGGTCATGGCTGCCCAGTCAAGTCCTTTTTAAAATTAAATGGGAAATCTGAGTCAAATATCACATTGTGTCTTACTTTGGAGATGGCTGGAAAATATGACTTTTATAGATTGAAAATGCTTTTTGTTGCAAATTAAATAAAAAATAGTCCTAATAGGAATAGCAGTTATAAATATTACAATGGATTTTAGTTGATATCTTCTTATCCTTATAATGACGAGTTAAATTTTTAAGTCTTATTTATGAAGATTTATATAAGTTTTCTACCAACGCACAGTAAGTATATCATTGCTAACCTAAAACATTAGGTTATCCATATAAAAGAGACCTTTCTGAGTGACAGATCTGACCAACTGTGACAAAGAATCATTCTTGGTCTCCAAAATTTTGAAATTTATTATTAAAAGGGGGGGTGCAATAAAAAAAAGAAAGAGAGGAAATTGTATTATCAGTTACACCAGATGAATGGTAATAATGTTGATTTTCACAAATATCTCTGAACTAAGAGTAAGTGGAACATATAGTACATTAAGTCCCCTCCTTTCTTGTGAAAGTATAGCAAAAGTTAATAACCATGGCTTGCGGATAGGGACAGGATAAGTCCCATCTGATGTATATGCTTAGGGCAATTTGTATCCTCCAGAGGCCAGAAGTCATGGTTTTTGTTCCTTTAAACTAAAAGCAAAGACATTATGGCCATCTTGGCTACTTAATAAAAATGAATACTAACTAATAATTCAAAGTCATTTAGTATTTACCTATACGCCAAGTATATATTTGGATATGAAGTTGTTTCCATGTGATTTTCGTCTTCACTTTATTTTTATGAAACCACTGTTGAAGACTCCACAGTCATATCTTTTGTCCCAAGAGCACATCTTAGTGCTTTTAAATAGCGAGCAGTTTCACAAAAGGAACAGTAATGTTAACTATGAGTTGAAACTCGACTTGTCCCAACTCCTACCCTCCCACTCCCCACCCCCGGATTCCTGGGAAAATGAGAAGAGGCAGTGCGTGCACACTGCTTTAGTACAGTGGCTGCACAGATCACAGGGTCCCTCACCAAGGCTGTTGTTCCCCTCACCTGCTCCATAAAACGGGAGGATCTTGTTATAGGTGTGTCCCATATGCACCTCCCTGTTAACAACCAGAGGCTCAAATGTAAGGTAACTGGGTTCAGAGAGGTAGTGATGGGAATATAGACTGTGCCACATTTGGCATGATTGTGCTAACGGCACCATCAGTTTATGATGCATTATATGTCGCCACCTTTTCTCCCCAGATTCCACAGAGGCGTATGCCCAGCATGCGCAGTCTCTGGACGGCACGGTGGGCAGCTCCATCCCGCTGTACAGGTCCTCGGAGGAGGAGAAGAGGGTGACGGTCATCAAAGCCCCACACTACCCGGGGATTGGGCCGGTGGACGAGTCTGGCATCCCCACGGCCATCAGAACGGTAGGCCGGGCCGGCGGCTCTGGGCACCCCTTGTCTGAGCTCATCGGCACTGCCGTTCTCATGCATGTTACCCTGTGTGTGGCAGAAAGAGGACTGTCCACGGGAGCTAATCACACAATCTGTGTCTCTGTTTGAGTGAAAAATCATGAAACTTGCGATTTTGTCAAAAGACAAAAGCCTGTTTTACCTCCTACCGAGGAGTGTTAGGACAATGGGGAGGAAAGGGAAAGGAAACCTGACTTCTTGGCTGCGTTGAATTCCCACGTGCCTTGCAGACAACCCAGTGGTTCGTCCCTTGAAAGGGATGTGTGTGAGCAAACCCGGGAGCTGGGAGCTGGGGGCTGGGAGGCGAGGTGATTGGAGTGAAGGGAGTGAATGTCACAGAGAGGAACAAGCAGGAGAATACACATTGGAGAGCGCTCCCTCTTCCACTGGCCTGCCAGGAGCTCTCGGGGATGCTGAGTGAGAGTGTCTGGGTTTTTTTTTAGTCTCTAAACGCTGCCAGGGCATTGCTCAGTGCGTGGGGCAGCCCCTTCTGGCAAAGCTCAGCAGTAGCAGCGGCTCCGAGAGCCGGCAGGCAGCCGCTGGCTGAGCCAGTCCCCTGAAGACCAGGTCTGTGCTACCAGCTGGCCCGGAGGACTCGGGAGCCGCCAGGATGAGAACGGCAGCGCGTTTGCAGGTGATGTTGGGGGGCGGTTCGAGAGAGGGGAGCTCAGGCTGCCTACATGTGTCTGCAGCACCCAAATACCTGGCCGGGATGTGGCCAGGAACTGGTTTCCCCGGAATACAGCCCTGGGGGCGAGAGGATGCGAAAACAATAGAGGGGAGAGGAGAAGAAGAGGAGAGGGATCAGAAAAAAGCAGTGGTCCGATTGGAAATTCTCTGGCTGGGCGAGAGACCTCACATGGGGGTTTTCTTCTCTCCTTGAATCTGTATTTATTATGTGGGGATTGTGAGTTCTGTGTACAGAGAGGAGAGTTGAAAATTAACTATTCCAAGTATCAGTACTAGAATTGGAAGCCAAATAAGTAAATCTGGATAGCAGGGGCCATAGGTTTTATACTCGTGAGATTCTGAGAACACTGGATGTGACTAATTTTAAAGTCCTAAAAATCTATGTCGGGACTGGTGATTGTCATGTTTAAGGGACAGGAATGGTTCAGGGATCACGACTAACCTTCTTAATCTTAGGATGACTACATGTTTCTGGTGACAGTGTTTTGTTGATGGTTTCCCTTTCAAGATTTCTGACTCAGAATGGTTACGCTTAAAAATTTTTTCCTAATAATGTGGGGATATCGTGTCAGACAGGTATGCTGTCATTGGTTCTGTTTAATTGATCCACGAGGCACAATATATACACTGATTCAGAGATCCCTGGTCCTAGATAGTTATAGATTCTCTCAGAAAAATTTTATCTCTGGGTGTGTTTTTAAGTCAACAAATGATATACAGAAATGAACACACAAAGCCTGACCTTTTGTTTTTAACCCATAAGATGTAATTTTCTTAAATAGCAAGGTCTTGCTTGTTGGTTTCTAAAAGGAAAAAAACTGAGAAGTGGTGAATGGTGAAAATGGAGTAATATTAAAATTTAATATTATTTATATACTGCTGACTCATGAGCACATCTAGACATGCATCCGTTAACACATATACCATGCTCAATGTTAGCTTTCAATCCATAAAGCCGAAGATTAAAATACAGTTTCTGGGTACAGCTGTGCTCTTATTTGGCCAGTTAGAACTTTACAAAGAAGGTGTAGGTCTACTTCCTATTTCCCAGCCTGGCCCGGCACATCCCCAAGTATAGCCGTGTTTATAAATGCCGAGTCAGGTCCTCACTGAGCTCCGCAGGCCAAGAATCCAGGGCTGTTTTTCCTTCTCCTCCACGCAGACAGTAATAGTTAGCAGACCGGGTTGCTCCGCATGGACCTGCTGCTGAGCGAATGTATACACCAGAGGCAGTGCCGCCCCCTGTATCGTGTGGTAGTCTCATCCTAGAAACCGGCATGGGCCCAGGAACCAGAATTGTGCAAAGTAACCCAGAAACTCTAGAAAGCCAAGTGTCAACAAACAGACCTTTGAGTTACTTGAACGAAGGGAAGTGGCTCCCCCGGCTGCCCTCTCTCATGTGATCCGGGCCCTCTGTCTTAGCCTTTTACCGCCATTCTTAGCAACAACAACAGAACCCACCAGGGTTCAGGGCCCGCGGGACTGTCTAATTGTGGCCAGCTAGTTAAGTGAAACACAAGCCTCCTTTCTTCCCCTTAAAATACAGCACCGTTCTGAGCATTTTCTTTATTATTTTTTTTCATCTTTTTTTTTTTTTTAACTCTCACCGGAGGATATTTTTCCACTGATTTTTAGAGAGAGTGGAAGAGAGAGGGAAAGATGGATAGAGAGAAATGTTGATATGAGAGAAGCACATCAGTTGGTTGGCCTTCTGCACGAGCCCCAGCCAGGGCCCAGACTAGGGAGGAGCCTGCAACGGAGGTACATGCCCTTGGCCAAAATCAAACCTGGGACCCTTCGGTAAGCAAACCGACACTCTAGCCATTGAACCAAACCGGCTAGGGCCATTGGAGCATTTTCAAAGTGGAAAGGCGCAAACACCGACTAGAGCAATGGTCAGCAAACTCATTAGTCAATAGAGCCAAATAGCAGTACAATGATTGAAATTTCTTTTGAGAGCCAAATTTTTTAAACTTAAACTTCTTCGAATGCTACTTCTTTAAAATAGACTCACCCAGGCCATCATATTTTGTGGAAGAGCCACACTCAAGGGGCCAAAGAGCTCATGTGGCTCAAGAGCCGCAGTTTGCCGACCACATATCTAGAATAACGGCATACTGGTGTGTAGAGAATTTCCCCTTGTTGGAAATCCCTGCGTGTTAATCAGGGTAGAGTTCTGATCATGTGTAAACTGTAGGAATGCACACATCCAGGTGTGCTCAGTCGAGGTTACAGAAAACACTGAGTAGTGGGTGTCTAGTGGTTAGTGTCCATGCAAAGTAATTGTGAAGGACCCCCACAAAAGTAAACATCCTCACCGCTGAGGAGACCGCTGTTTACTCAGCCTCAGGATTAGCCATAACAACCTCCACCATGGCATTTATGAGACCAAGTTGAACTGCTTAGAGGACTCCTTTTAGAAAGAGACACAGAGTTTTTGTGTGACCAGTTTCACATTCCCCTGGGCATGCCTGGCATCTCCGCGCTCACCATATAAAGCTCGCAGATGGCAGGACCGAGCTCCTGCCCGTTACGTGCCCTCCAGCCAGGCAGGAAAAGGCCTGTCAGTCAGGAGCGTTGCCATATCCAGGGCTATGACTTACTTATGAGGCGTCCTTGTTGCCATCGGCCATGTCCAGGTAGGGCTGGAAAACATTTCTGCACAAGCTTTTGTCTTCTTTTCTGTTGCTGAATACTGTAAAGGAAATAAAACTTAATAAGAGAAATTGATCTTTTATGTCCCTTAAAGACACGTGATTAGCCAAAACCAGTTTGGCTCAGTGGATGGGGCATTGGCCTGCGGACTGAAGGGTCCCGGGTTTGATTCCGGTCGAGGGCGTGTGCCTTGGTTGTGGGCACACCCCTAGTAGGAGGTGTGTAAGAAACAGCTGATTGATGATTCTTTCTCATCGATGTTTCTAACTCTCTGTCTCTCTCTCTTCCTCTCTGTGGAAAATCAATAAAACATATATATTGATCAGTTACTTCATTTAAACCAACAAATAATAGCTGGATTTCATTACTGCACCTCATCCCACCATATACCACCATTTGAACATAAAGTCCATCAACAATCCCCTCAATTTTTCCATCCTGAAGAGAGCGTAGAATGAATAAAGAGGTGATTTGCCACAAAGTCAAGGAACCCTTAAAGTTCATCTATACTTGTGGTAATTACAGACTCATATATTCCTAGACACCAAAATAAAATTGGATACAGTACAAAACTCAATGTCCAGATGAAAAAAATGTAGTGACCGCATTCTGAGAGAAAAATGAGGCTATCAAATTGAAACCAAAGCTGAGTCAAACCAGTATAAGAATATTTTTTGTGGCAGTCCTAACGGAATATTTGATATCAAGGGAATTGTCTCGGAAAGTCTGATATATTTAGTCACTATACACACAATGGTTGAGCCTCTTGCCCAAGTAGCTCTGGAAAAAGTTGAGATAAAGATCTTGCCAAGAAAAATCTTTAATTAGGATTATAAAGGTGTCTGCCTACTTTCAGAAGTACACAATATGATCATGTTCCATGTAATAATCTGGATTCATTCATTATTTTATTCTATAAATATTTGGTGTTCCCTATGGTGTTTTATTGAGCATTTCTTATATTGTAGGCATTGTTCTAGACCTTTCTGTGTACATCATCTCATTCAATTTCCATAACAATCCTATGATGTGGAAATAATTATTTCATTTTCAAAAGGAGAAAATGAGGCTCTCAAAGGTTACCTAACTTATCCAAATTCATATTGGTAGGAAACAGCAATTACAGGACCTGAGATATGCATCTAGGTTGATCTGACATTAATTATCTTCTCACTTCTATCACAACAAAAGCCCGGGTTGCAGATGAGGGCACTTCTATGCTCAAGGAATTTACCATTTAGCAAAGTAAATGTTATAAATGTTTTATTATCAGGTTAAAAACATTTTTGAAACAACATCTCCATTTTTAGAATTGCTCTTAGACTCTGGATTGTGTCCCTACACTTGGTACTTTAGTAACTTCGAGTAGAAAATATTCAGTTTTTCTTTCTCTGAACCTAAGTTGACCAGAATGCAATTGGAGTAAAAAATATTCCTTTGTTAAGGAATATTTAGCCTCATTTTTTATCGCTGTGGGCACATGTTTTTGGTCTATACAATGAGGTGGCTGTTTTCCCGCCCTTTTTTTTCTCATAAAAACAATGTCTTAAACAGAACACTCACTAAAAAGGTTTTTAAGAATAATGATAATTATCTCCAAAAGGAGTGAAGGACACTGTGATAACCCTATACCTCTTATTCAGTGACTTTTATATAAATACAAGAGGCCCGATGCACAAAAATCATGCAAAAATAGGCCTTCCTTCCCCCTCCCCCCGCCGCTGCCAGCACTGGCTTTCCTCTGGCACCCAAGACCCGGGCTTCCCTGGCAGCCCTGGCTTTGTCTGGAAGGTCGTCAGAAGGTCGTCCGGAAAGATGTCCAGTCTAATTAATGTAGATGTTTGTGCAAACATTAACTGTGGAGTGCTGGATAAAAAAATAAAATAAATAAATAAAATAAATAAAAAAACCATGGCACGTATAATGCTCCAATTCAGCCTAAACTCACACAAGAGGTAATGTATTCACACACTGCACGCATAATTGGGTAAATGACTGCTTTTGTCATTATGAGATAGATTTTTATAAACCAGAGAACATAAAAAAAGATCTGGAAGCAGTTTTGTAACTGTTGGACCTTCTCTTTTTAGACAGTTGACAGACCGAAGGACTGGTACAAGACGATGTTCAAGCAGATCCACATGGTGCACAAGCCGGGTACGCACGTTGCTCCATGTCCCCATCGGGTCCTTGTGGGCTGAAGGCTGTGTATGTGTCTTCCCCGTTTACACAGTTGGTTCACCACAAACGTCAAGACTTTAACAAGCTTCCTGGCCTCCATTGGTTCTTGTGACTATGCCTCCTTCTATCACCCCTTCAAACCCCAGACCCTGTGTCCTGCCTCACCCCTCACCTGCCAACAAGCCTCTTAGGTGGTGACCTTGACAAGGCGCCAGCTGCTCTGGTCTCTTCCCTTCGTCCTTCTTTGTCTGAACCAGTGTGGCCTGTTGTCCACTTAGACAGACTCATTAGTCCTCTGTCCACGTGGCTGCTCCCTATCCAGAGACTGAGCATAGGGAGGTCTCGCTGAGTTGACAGAGATATTTAAAGCACTTTCTGAAGAAAAGTCAGGCCCCAGAAGAGAAGGCTGGGAAATGAGGCAAAGGTACTGACCTTGGACACCCAAAGAGCAAATGGGTTACAGGCTGTTTCAAAAACAGCATTTGGAGGGGGGAAAAATTATAGTATTTTGAGCTAGGCAAAGTACACCGGTTTCTAACAAATGTCTGCTGTTTCTGTGAAATTCTGCTGTCTAGCTGTGGTATGGGGACACAATCTGCATTACCATCGTGTATGTTTCATTTTCTAGATGATGACACAGACATGTACAATACTCCTTATACATACAACGCAGGTAGGACGGCTTTCCCGGCTTGCAATGAAGATTTCTCAGTGCTTGCCACGCTTGAAAGAACTTTAGCCTCACGTTTTACCGCTGCGGGCGCATGTTTTCCGTCTACACAATGAGGAGGCTGCTCTCACCCCCTTTTTTTCTCACAGCATGCCTAACAAAAGGATCGATCTCTTCTCGTGGAAAGGAGAACTAACCCTGTTGTAGAGCCTTCATTCCCCGTGTTAGCTGATGCTCAGCTTCAGGAATGTGTAACTCCGCTGTGAAGGCCGGCCTGAAAGAACACACTGTAACGGGCACAAAATGAGATAAAGATCCCCTTTTATCAGAGCAGAGAGGGAGCGCCATTGCGTAAGATCTCTCAGATACACTTCACGGCAAACAAGTCCGGCACAGTGTTCTGTGACCTTGCCCAGGCCTTCGCTCCAAAATGCACCCATTCATGGAAGGCTTGTTTAAAAATCCCACTTTACCGGCCACTCTTCTGACTCAGAGTTGCCCAGGTCCATAATGAGCAACTTCCATCCCGGGCTTTTCTGCTTGCGCTTGGGTGTGGTGGCATCTTGTGAAGTGGTTGCAGGCTCACGTGAGGGAACCCCTAGAAACTGTTTCCTGACATGACTTTTGTCAGGGAATCCCACACAGGCCCTCCTGTCCCTGCTCAGCCTTGGGCTCCAGACCGCTGCCCGGGGTCTGTTCTTTCTTTATAGCAGGCTCAGCAGGTGGATCTGCCCTCCCCTTACGCATAGTAGCCCCACAAGGGGTGCCCTGCAGGCCTGGCTCAGAGCTGCAAAGGTTCCCCTCTCCTGGACACCTAACAGCCAGTGCACAGGCCCTTGAACTCTTGGGGATTTTGCTACTAGTCTCCAAAGACGAATGGAGAAGTAACAAAACAAGAAAACAAACGAGCGAACAGAACACGCATAGAGGTGACAAGCCCTTGGTTTTCTGCCCCCAATATTCCACATTTCCCAGGGGTCCACTAGATGTTGCCTCAATGTTTTCTCCTCACCACAGGAACTCACCTCCCATGCTTAGCTTGTTAAAAAATCAAAATTTCAACCGAGTGCATTTTGAAGATCTTATTGGCTTTGGTCAATGATTCATGAGTCAGGCAGCGTCCCATCTAGCACACAGAGTAGCTCCGAAGAGCTGCACAACATGAGAGACTTCACAGGCAGAAGGGAGCAGGACAAGGAAGGTGGGGCAGGCGAGAAAGTGGATGGTCAATTGAGGTCACCTTCCCTTAGAGGAGGGCTGGGTCCATCAGGCCGATGGCCTAACTGGTGCTGACCAGGTGGCCAGGTGTCTCCGGCTGGTTTAAGGCTCCGTTTCTGAGAGAGGCCTACCCCGGAATTAAATTGAGTCCAGTTTGTGACGTGGAATCTTTGCATAAGCAACTCCATTGGGGGCCTGTTGTCCTGTTTTTAGCAAGCTCTGAAGCTGAACCCAGACAGAATTGAGGCCAAAAACAACGTGCGGACATCATGTCTTTGTACTTGTCGTGGCAATTTGCATGGAACTTTCGAGAAGAAAAGTGCAAACAGACTTAGCTCAAAAGACTGAGGTTGCAGGAAATTCAGAATGTTTTGCATCCATTAATAATTAGTCGATCAAACAATAGTTCCATATAACCTTGCGGAGCCTTTGGAGAGAGTTTTACTGTTTAATCAGTAGACAGAGCAACTGCAACTAGTCTTTTCCCTTCGACTCACCCTTCACCCGCTGACGTGGGTCTTGCTCTTTCTGCCTCTTTTTCGTTTCTATGTGATTCATCTCTGCTACCATCTTTGCCTAACCCCCAAACCAGTCCTTCGGGGTCCATTCTGGTGCTTTTGGTTCCATGATATCTTAGACCAATCCACCATCTTCTAAAATCCCTTCATTACTAATGTATGTTTTCCGCATTTGGCCTTTACCACGTTGCCAATTATTTTCCATCTGAGTTCTCTCTGGGTCTCATTTCCCAGATGCGCTGCAGGCTTACTGAGGGCTTCTGTTTCCTTAAGCCTTGCACGGCACATACATAATATCTTTCTGTGTTGTGTTTCATTACAATTAACATGTCAATTATCATATATGAACCAGAGCCTTTCAAGTAATAGAAGATATTTGGAAACAGTTCTGTGAAGCATTTTTTAATCTTCCTCTGAAATCTTAACTATGTCGTTAGTTTATGTCCTCCAGGAGAAAGTTTGCTGAGTACCTGTAAGTTATGCCTCATCCTAGTCTGAATGATTACTGACTCTAAAATGATTGACAAAGATCTACTATCGCCAATGCTTGTGTACAGAATGCAGCAATAACAAATTAATCTCTTCATAAAGATTAGTCCATTAATTGCTAATGATCACCCTGCCCTATGCATGCAGTATGGAGATGCCTATTGATGATAATGTGAGCAAAATCACTGGCTATTTTATGGGGCATGAAGAATTTAATGCACTTTTTAAATGGCATTGGCCCCTGTTTGTTTTGTTCTGCTGTGTTCTCGCCACAGGCCTGTACAACTCACCCTACAGCACTCAGTCCCATCCTGCTGCGAAGACCCAGACCTACCGACCCCTCTCCAAAAGCCACTCGGACAATGGCACGGACACTTTTAAGGATGCAGCTCCCCCGGCCCCTCCCCCACAAGTTCCTCCTCCGGTCCCACCGCTTCGACCTAGAGATCGGACTTCCACAGAGAAGTAAGGCATTGCCCCCCAAGGTGGCCCGCGTTTATTTAGCCTCGTATAGAAATAAGGCCTCGGGGCAGTCAGTAGAAGAACTGGTGGAGGTAGTATATGTGTAATCTTCAGCCAATGCAGGCAGTCCTCGGGTTACGTTGGACTCGACATGCGTGGTGTCATGGTTACATCACCATCTCCCATTTATTTATAATTTTTTTTTAAGTTCCATCACTTCGACATATGTACATATGTGCTTTATGTGTTTTATTATTTATTTAGCACAAGTAAAGGCCAGGAATTGCTATCTTTCTTTTAAAATTTTTTGACTGTTTGACTTCATTACTGCTGTGTGTGTTCACCATGTGAGTGATGTAGGTGCTTATGTAGGTGGGTTCCAACTTACGGCAAAAATCACATTACGTCGCCGTAGGAACGGATCTCTGACGTAACCCGAGGACCTGCTGTACATGTACCTCATTGACCCCCTCCCCCTTCTACTGAGATTATAGTAGACACCTTTGCAAGTTTGGTTCATAATATTATAGTGACCTAAGTTAGACCTGGCATAACATGGGCACAAGATCTACTTTTTAAATTTTTTTTAAATGCATAGAAGACAAATAAGAAGAAATCATTGACGTAGTCTTTTTGGCCTAGCACCCCAGACTACGCAGTTCCTTTTCAGTTTCCTCAGATTTGAAATGTTAGGTCTATTAATTATTTAAAATTCCCCTCTGATACGCAAAAATATGTCTTTGAAAGCAGGAAAATTATTCATGAATCATAAATAAGTCATTAGTTAATAAGTGTCTACCTGTGACTCATTTCCACCAGTTTTTCAAGATGATACTAATTTTCATTTTCCCCACAGATATGTTTTTATAGAAACTAGACTCACAAAAATAAAAATTTATAAACAAACTTATATGGCATCATGTAAGAATTAAGATTATGACTAATAATCCAATTATAGGTGATCTTTATTGAGAGTATGCTATGAGCCAAGCACTGGGCGAAGTACTTTTCCTCTATTATATCATTTAATTCTGAGAACCCAGTGAGGTAAGGTTTATTTTAAACCCATTTTAGAGAGAAAGACACTGAGATTTAGAAAACTGGAACAACTTGCTCAGCTCATACAGCAGAGTTCAAACTCACCTGTGACTGAAATCATGGCTCGTGTTATACCGGCAATAAAGAAGGATATAATAATTATTCAGTATTAATACCAATTATGAAGCACTCACCTACCATACCAATGTCAAAACTATTATATTCAACACCGCCTGGTATCATTTAGAGTAACTGATGGTTGTATAGGGTATAAGATACCACGAAAATGGACACACTTCATGTGTGAGAAGATTCTCATTGTACCAGTCTTCTCATGATGGGTTTTATGTTTAGAATGGCGATTTAGAATGGTCTTAAATTTGATAAATAACTGTCTAGACATAGATGGTATCTCTGCCATAAAACAGAACCAAAATTAACTCAGAATTCAATGTATTATTTGTTCTATGTGTTTAGTAAAAACAAATCTCTCGTTAAGAAATATGCAAATCTCTTGAACATTTCAAAAGCTGCTGCATATTATTCCTCAATTTACCAGAATGCCAGCGCTTGGCCCTAATTCTCCTGTCCCTAAAGGCATTTCTATTCCCAGCATGCCACGGGGTCAGCATGCCATCCCTCCCAGGACTCAGCATGGCCCCATCTAAAGCCAGGCAAGTCCCCTTCCTCTGGAAGGAAGCCTTCTGTGGCACCAGCCACCTAACACACTTTGTTTTTGAAGTGCTGTGGCCACCCCCAAAGAATATTGGATCAGGACAGAGCTGGTTCCCGGGTCTCCCAGGAGATGGGGTGGATGTCTGGCCCCGGTTTTTCAAGGTTAACACAAAAGCGGACCACCCACCCCCACAGCTCGCTCCCATGGAGGGCAACCCAATAGGTCCCTTGGTGCTTCTCACAAACCATGATGCCACTTGAACAAGATCCAACATGGCGTGTGCATGACTCCTGTCACTGTGAGTCAAGGATGGCAGGTCAGAGCGGTGAAAACTCACACCCCGTGATGGAGCGGAAGCACCGCTTATTCCAAACACAGATGCCCACACTGCCCTTGCACGTGACCTAAGGGTTTAGCTGCAGCGCCCTGGCTGCATGGCCCCTGAGCCTCTGTGTGAGGGTTTGAGCAGCTGGAGGATGACATCAATGTATGAAAGAAAGAAAACAAACAAACAGAGGAAAACATAATATAAAATAAAAGAAGTGACTTCCTCTAAATCATTTATGTAAAACAACACATAAAGGTGGTATTTGGGACAGATTAGCTTTTGATCCTATGAGACTTTGTTTAAAAAAAAAAAAAAAACTATACAAAAATTCACCTTGAAAGCAGCCAGTGGAGAGATTTGACTGCTTGTAGCCCAGAGAATTACGTCCACATGTAACTTGTCGGTTCTTTCCAGGCATGACTGGGACCCTCCGGACAGGAAGGTGGACACGAGGAAGTTCCGTTCGGAGCCCAGGAGCATTTTTGAATACGAACCGGGCAAGTCATCGATCCTGCAGCATGAGCGGCCAGTAAGCACTTGTCCCCAAACACGATGCCGGCCCTCCGGGCTCCGTGGGTTCCCATGGAAACCCGGATTTCATGTTGTTTAGCAATGTTGGTGGCCAAGGGCTTTCCTCAGCATTGCTTAGAAATCACGTTTGTTTTGTGTCATGTTTTGTGCCTCTTGTCTCGGAATTGAAGATGCAGCTTCTAATACGTATCGTTCCTACCAATCAAATATAGGATGAAACTATATTTGCATGTCACTATAGCCATAGCTATGAGTTTAACTGGGGGGGGGGGGGGGAGGGAGAACACTCATTAATGTAAGACTTAATCGCTAGTCTACATAGCCAATGAGAAAAATCATTCATTAATCTCTTGGATACAAATGCACCCAGGCAGTCCCTTCATTTCTACACAGGTTTGTTACCATTTCTAGGACTTAAGGGGAAATTTTCCAAATGTCTCTTTAGAACAAGTTGGTCTTAATTGATTCTTATTAAATCTCTCTCAGGTTACTGAGACTCCAGCTTTCTGTTTGCCCATCTAATGGATCAAGAGTAAACTTTGCAGTATTTTATGATTATTTCTTTAAATCCTCTGCAAAGAAAAAGGAGGTGGGGAGTACCCATTTGCTTCCCCAAAGTGCGGTTAACAGGCCGGCTCTTGCTTGGCCCTCCTGGTTTCAGGTCCGTCTTTCTTTCTGGACCTGTTTTCCCTCCCTGATCGGTGCCCAGGGATCTCTGGACCTGTCATTCCTCTGCACCTCTGTCCCAGTCTGCCTCAAGGGAAATAGTTGATGTCATTTGCAACTTACTCTCTGCCTTGTCTTGTCTTTAAAATATATATATATATATATATATATATATATATATATATATATATATATATATCATTGATTTTTTTACTGAGAGGAAGGGAGAGGGATAGAGAGTTAGAAACATCAATGAGAGAGAAACATTGATCAGCTGCCTCCTGCACACCCCCTACTGGGGATGTGCCCACAACCAAGGTACATGCCCTTGACTGGAATCAAACTTGGAACCCTTCAGTCCACAGGCCGACGCTCTATCCACTGAGCCAAACTGGTTAGGACTGCCTTGTCTTGTCTTAAAAGAATTTAGGTGTCAGTGAGCAGGAGAGAGTTTTCTTCGGTAGCTCCTTTAAGAGTATCCAAGAAACCATATGATCATGTTGAATGCAAGGCCAGCCCTGAAATTTGGTTGGAAACCCTGGCTTCACCACACCCAAGTTGCATGTCCTTGATTTAGTTTTTGAAACCCTGTATTTATGGTTATGTTCTTGAGAAACAGGTTCAAGAACCTCATAATCACATAATTCATAGTGATGTTTATCTAAGCCTCTTTTTTTTTTTTTTGCCATTCTACAAATAACTCATCTCTTTCAGAGTAACGGAATTTTAGCAGAAAAACTGAAAGAAAAAAAAAAACGGTACATGCCTGAGTTGCAAGCTCCATTGCAAATGTATACCCCATTTACTAGGTTATGTGATTGAATTTTGTCATTTCTAGGATGAGAATTGAGTGAATCATGAGGTCACCATTGCATAAAGTTGAAAATAGCAAAATAATGTCTCAGATTTAAGTGTCAATACCAAAACGTTAATAATCATTCTAACCGTTTATGATACTCTTCGGATGATGCATGTTGTAACCGTACTGAAATGCTTTGATGGCTGTGGCGCCAGGGAAAAGGATATTTCTATTATCGACTCACTGAACAAAATTACTGAGCACTGACGACGTGCCAGACATTGTACTAGGTGCTGGGGAACAACACAACAGTGAACAATACAGCCTCTACCGCAAGGAACTCGGGGCTGTCATTTAATGGAGGTGCAGGGCAGGCCTGCCTTTGTGTGAAACAGACCACGAGACGGTGAAAACAGGCACACCTAAGGAACCCTCCCTCTGCCCCTTAGCAGCTCATTGGTGGGCTCTCCCACCTGCTCTTCACATGGAAAAGCCTCATCTCCCTTTCCCAAGGCACCAGCCTTGACTCCTCAACTGTAGGTGCGGAGCGCCCCCTGCTGTGAGCCTGGGGCATTTCCCCTCACTCACCACACTGAATTGTAATGGTCTCTGGTCTGTGTCCCTCACTAGACTTGAAGCTCCTTGAAGGCAGGGACCAGGTTTGGTGCACCAGCTGTATCCTCAGCACCTAGCACAGTACCTGGCACAGGATAGGTGTCAAGTGAATACTGGTTGAATTAAAACGTAAATGAATGGATATAGGTTTTACCCTCGATGTGAGTGGGTAAGTTGGTGAGACCGAATCCTTGTTCTGTTGCTTATCTGCAGAGCTGGTGACAAAAAGGCACAATGTGTTCCCATCAAAAGTCACATGAGAGATTGGATGCCCGGCTATTAGTAATTGTGGTCCACTAATGCCATGGATCCTGGTGCAGGGCATAGCAGGGCGGGACTGTGTAAACACAAGTCCTTCCCCAGGCTCTGGCCTAAGGGAACCCCTTCTTACTTAGGAATACATAGAATATGCATTGATGTTCCTTAACATGAAAGTTTAAGTGAATGCAGTTTTTTTAAAGTGCATAGATGTTCATTTGACTATACATTTAGAAATGTTGATTTAATGGCCCAATGTTTGATCTCAAAAAGTACTTTGCAATCACCAGGAATCTATTTTAACCGACTTGAACCACAATTTACTCCATAAGAGAATCATACAGCTTCTCTACTGGGATCCTATCCATAGGAACTTTGCATCCCATCTGGACTCGATTGTTTATAGGCAAGCCATAGGAAAGTAAAATAAATTTAAATACAACACTTATTTAGGACCTCTCTATTCTTGATAAAAATGGAAATAATAGGAAAATGTTACCTTTCTATGCAATAGCTATAATGATAAAAGCAGAAGGAATAATCGCTAAAAACACTGTGTAGAGTTGAAATGCAATTAAATCTCAGCGAACTTAAGCTTCTTTTTCAATGAAGATTTTCATTAAAAACTTAAACTCTAAAAATTTTGGAGGTTTCATCTGATGGTTTAAAGCATAAAGTCACAACATGTATAACATGGAACCACTACAAATACAGAATATAGTCATCAATTCCATTAAAGCTTAAAAATCTAATGAGCACAAAATTTAAAGAACCAAATCTCTATGCTGACTCTTCTTCTCGTTTGAGCAATATATAAAAGTTATATGTCTGTCATGAGAATACTGAGAATAGTAGAATTTCAATAACCTGAAAAGCAACTAAATGCTTTTAAACTGTAGAAAACATACCCATTTTACAGATTTCTCACCCTTGGTGGCTTTGCAATAAGAATCATGTGTGACAGGCAGGTTTAGATTTTCATAAGCACTTCCTTCTGCCTTTATTGACTTTTGTTTTAAGCACCAGTTTGCTAGATATTCTGGAAAAGCCAGAAATATGTTTAGAAAGATATGCAGCAAGCTCTTGTCTTTTATGAGCAAGGAGAGCTTCCTCTATGAGTATCTGAGTGTTAATATTCACGTCCAACCACTCAGAGGAACCTTCAAGTTACAAGTGGAAAGTGTTGATTTAGTGAGATTAGGAGTGTGTATGTCTGTTGGCTGACTGTCCGTGTGTCCATCACTACTGTCTTCAGGCCTCTGTGTACCTTAGCAGTGGGTCTAGGCTGCCACCTAACACTGTTAACTGTCACATGATTAACAGAATTCAATAGATCAGCCACAGCAGAGAGAGCATTCCAGTTCTGCCACTTACAGCTTCTTTACCCTAAAGACTCTGCTCTAGCACGTGCCTCTCACCACATCCCAATGTGAGAGATAATGACTAGTTATCGCTGTGTAGGGTGTTTCCTCTATTTTCTATTGGCATGGATTCCAGATAGCTGCCCACCGTGACTAGACACTGGATTTTTAATCTACAAAATCATAATTCAGAGACAATTGCCATTCTAAGGTAGGGTAACGGGACAACAGACATTCTGTTCCCCTTTCAGTATTGGAGAAGAGAAATATGTTTCTGTGAGTCAGGATTTTGTATATCTGTCTTTCTAGAGTTTCTTACGGTGGAAGTCTAAGTGAAGTTGTAACCACTTGTAAATACATGTTTGTTTAGTGAATGCGCTGCCCTCTGCTGTTCAATATGTGTGTGTGTTTTATTTGTTTCCTCTAAGAAAAATTTGTCTCCCCTTAGAAAAACAAAGACTGTACTTGAAAGCCGAGATTATAAAACCAAGAATTCACCATGTTTTTTAAGGATATAACATTAGGAACAATGAGATTTGAAGAAGGCCGAAGATTCATTTTTCTGTGGAGGAATGACCAGGCCTCGTTAGATTATCAAAATTTTTATCTCGGGCACGGAGAGGGCCACGCTCTGATGTCATTTCCCCTAAAAATCCTCTCCAGCGAACTATTCCATGAAGTAGTTCTATGCTTCAGTTATTATTTAAATGTGTGTGTTTTCTTACAGAGCCCCACCTGCCACAGGCTTTGAGACTATTGTACAAACATACAGTCCTATTCTGCTTCATCCCTCAGCATCGCACCCAAACATTCCCCACGGTTACTCCATGGCTTTTATCATGATGATTGCTGCACAAGCCAGTTAATTTAGACCCTGCCGCTATTTTGCCATGATGTCCCCAATTTTTCTGTTTCTGTCTGTAGCTATCATGATAACCTCATATTATAAACTATTGGAATAGAAAGCACCTCTCTAAAAATCTTTTGGATATAATATATTAATAAATATAGGCTATATATTATTTTTAAACTATGGGGTGGGGATCATTAAAACACTCTGACAAGCTCATTTCAAAATAATGGCTTTTGTTTGAATACGGACTATCTCAAAGCATCCAGGGTTACAAAGAATATGCCCTCCCCTGATCGGGGGAATGGCTTTTAGGGACACAAAGGGGTCTTTTTCTGACTTAAAATTTTACTGCCCAATTGCACAATGTTTAATTCGTCCCATGTATTATAATAATCACCAGAGAAGGACTTACCCATATGCAGTACCGTAAGCACCCATTTTTAATAGAAATCCAGAGCCCAGAACAGTGTGGTTCAGAGCTACTTGAGAGCACTGGGATATCAGCAGGTAACATAAATGCTCTGATGCTGAGTGGCTCTTATTCAAGTAATTGATGTATTTTGTCCAACAGTTTATATTAACACTCCTCGTTTCTCTCTCTTAATACAATAACCATGAAAGGGGAGCAAGTCGATTATAAACTGGCTTTTTCTCTAAATTACAGCGTCAACCAAACAAGGGTAGACTTTTCTCCCTCGCTTACTGCCCAGCCCTAAGCCACCAAGGTGCTGTGAAAAATTAATTAAAAAAAAAAAACTAACCCCAACCAAACCCACTTTCATAGCTCAAGGTCTGCAGGAAGAAGTTGATCTTTGGGGTAGCTCATAAAATGTGATCTTTCTTTCTTAAAAAAAAAATAATGCTTTTATTGATTTCAGAGAGAAGGGAGGAGAGAGAGAAACATCAATGATGAGAGAGAATCATTGATTGGCTGCCTCTTGCATGCCCCCCATTGGGGATCAAGCCTGCACCCGGGTCATGTGCCCTGACCAGGAATCGAATCATGACCTCCTGGTTCACGAGTTGATACACAACCACTGAGCCACCGGGAGGAAGAAAATGTGCTCATTCTTTACGCTCTGAGAGGCTCCTTGCCTCCACATCTTTTCAGTGGTCCACACCATCCTTTCAGTGGTCCACACATCCCAAGTTGTCCCCCCGGGACCGCCCTCCCTTGCCTCAGGCAGGGCCGCAGCTGCTGCCCCTAGCATCCCCTCCACACCCTGAGCACCTCTGCCTAACGAACCAGTTTCTCCTCGCCTCTCTTACAGCCCCCCCTCCCAACAACTCCGCCACCTGCTCCCCGGGAGCCCGGCCGGAAGCCGATTCCTATGTCACCCCACGGAGAAGTCACTGGTAGCCCCTCCCCTCCGCCCAGGAGCGGGCTCCCCACACCAAGCCCGAGCACCCCGGCTCTCTCTCCCATCTGGGTGAGCTCCCTCCTTCCTTCGCTTTCCTAACGCCTGTCAGGACGTGTAGGTGTGGTCCAGGGGCTGAGAGACAGTCAGAGGCTGCTGCTCACCTCCACCTCCACCTCCACCTCCACCTGGCTGCCCCTCTGCCCCTCACCCAAACCCCAGCCTTCCTGCCAATGGACCCCTAACCGCCTCCAGCACCTCACTCCTCCCCGCCTGGATCTCCCCCCACCTCCCCTCCGGCTTCTCGGGCTCCCACCTCCTGCACCTGAGTGGACTGTCTGCACTGCAGACTGAATGCTGGGACCAGCCAGGGCAGATGTGCTGTTCCCTTTCTCCCAAGTCCTCCCCTACCCCCAACCCCACCCCAGGAGCTGCCCAGCGACAGCTGAGCGTGGCCTAAAGCCCTGGTGAGCTGCCAACGCGCCTCCTTGCTGTCACCGGCAGTTTCTCATGGGCGGTGCCTCAGGCTAAGGAGGGATGCAGAAGGGTGGACAGAGGAGGCTGCCAGGGCCCTCGTGATGCCATTGAAGCTCATCTCCATCTCTGATTTACCCATTTTCCTCCACCCCCCTGTCCTCCGTGGCTGAGACGCGTGGGATGAGAGCAGGTGCACGTTGGCGTGTGAATGCGCGCGTGGGTCATGCCACACAGCATCCTTCCTCACCTCGCTCAGTGTGCCTTTTCCTTCCCTTTTCCTTCACGTCTGCTCTAGACTGACCGCATACATCCCGATGACGTAGAGTTAGAGAATGAGCCCTGGTATAAGTTCTTTTCAGAGCTGGAGTTTGGACGGCCGGTAAGTGAGGCTGGACTCTTCCCGTGAGAACACCAACCAGGGGGATGTGGCTTGACTCACACAACATATTGTCAGAGCGATTGGCGTCATGCAGAGAACAAACGTTGGGTGTGTACTTAGATGCACACTCAGCCCACAATCATTTCTGGACCACATGGGTAAACATGCTCAGACACAAGTGCTATGCGGTGTTTCTCTACCACTCAATCACCCGCAAGGCGCCCTTGATAATCTGAGCAAATTCAAACTGCTGCAAGGCCTTGTCCTAGCACAGCCAGACCATGGCAGGTCTACAGAAGCTGTGTATTTGTTTACAGTCCACTTTGGTCTAGTTCCCTCAGAAGAGCATGGTGGCTTGATAATAACAATAAGTACTATTCTCATAGCCCTCGTTGCTGAAGAATCGCTAAGCATGTGGCGAGGCTGGGTCTGCAGGCATTTCCCCAGGGAGCCCTCACAAGGCCCCTCAAAAAAGGAGAAACCAGAGAACAGAAGGGCTACGTAATTTGCCCAGGATAATAAGTGACAGAATCAGATGTCAAGCCCAGTCCCATCAACCAACCAACCAAACAACAACAAAAACCTCTGGACAATTTCCACAGTGACCTCCTGCCAGATCACCCCCACTATGACACACCTCTACTCTCAGGGACACGAGGAAAGGGAAAAGTAAGGAATGATTTCCAGTCTTGCTACTGGAAGCCACCTCCCCAAACCCTTGCCAAAGGGAACCTTCTGGAAATCGGTCTGTGTGGTATAAAGAGTCAACAGGCCTCCAATAAGCAATTTCCTTCATCAACTCAAGTTTTACTGCGGAACTCTACCTACCAGCAGCAGTGCCTGTGAGGCGTGTCAGTTCCATGTTGTTGATGCTTTACCTGGTGTTTCTGAATTTTAAACTCTCAAAGAAAATACTGTTTATTACGCCACATGGAATTTTACTAAAGACCAGGGAGTACAATCTCTCTCTTGCCACATCACAGGCTGATTTATACGCTCAGGTACTACGTCCTGTTTTCCCTCCTGGGTGCATGCAGTAACAACCCCTTTGCAAAGGAGACTGGGTTAGAACTGGACCAAAAGTGGCTGTAAATAAATATACACAGAAGAATTTTTCCTAGACTGTCTTTGCCTCATAAGGAGGCATAGTTTTTCCCTTTTTTTTTTTTTCTAATTTGCATCCTAGCAGTCACATCAATGTATTTTATTTCAGAGACAACAAATTCTCTAGCTCCACGTGACACATATTCTCATTGTTGATCAGTTTATGGGGACTGTCCCAATTTCCGTCCTGAGCCTAAGTCAGCAGCATTTTTCTAGCATCTTTCCCAGCCACCCTGGAAGTTCACAGCACGCTCTCCACGTGCCCACTTGCTCCCTTAATGTTTCTTTAATCGCCCTCGCCTTCCTCCGCGCCCCGAGACTAGGAGTGCTAACTGGACCTGATAAATCTAGTCTATCGATACACTAATCACACTGCCAGTGCTTGAGATCAGTGACAAGCATAGCCCTCCTCCTCCCAGGCCACCCCCATGGCGCACCACGCGTGTCCCTCTGTGTGTGTACCTGATGCTGTCGCCACTCGATTTCTAACTGTTGTCACCTTTTCCACATGTCCATTCCTTGCTGCCATTGACTGTCCTCCATTCCATCTCTACACTCTGCTTCTGTGGTGTGCACCGACACCCAGCCTCCTAAAAAGGCTCTGGACTATGTTCAAGACCATTCTCCTGGTGTTCCCAACGAGGTAAAGACAGATTCCTCTCCTTTTCACGTTTCTCTCTTAGGGGCTGTTGCTGCGATCCCGAACGTCTGTGTTTTACAGTTCCCGGCGGTGCCTAAGCTATTTTTGAGCATCTACCTTCGCCTCGTTACGTAGGCATACTCCGTGGACAAGAATGATACCGTGTGGGCTCTTTCTGAAAAGTGGGCTGAGCTGAACTGCTCAGTGCAGCCCTGCTATCCAGGGGAAGAAGGGGGTCATAAAACACGAAGCGCAGTGGTCTTTGTGCGAGTATTGACCACCTGCTTTGATTAGACTAAAATGCCCCCAGGAGCTTCTCAGAGCCATTTGAGCATCATGCCTGGAGGTGCAAAATGACCCTTTAGGTTCTTAGATAATCAGATGGTTAGGCCCCCACATAGTCCCAAAATGTACTGTAATTGTTTCATTTTCCTAAATGCAATGTATGCATGTGAGCATCGGACAAAATCAAGAATAGGGCTGACATGCATCAGAGTAAGTATTGAATGTAAACTGGAATTGAAAAAAATTTTAAGCTAAGAAAAAAAAAGAAAAGAAAGAATGAACAGGGCTGACAAGTAACTGGCACACACGTCACAACTTCCGGGTCCACACCGACAGGCATTCCCAATCCTTCTCCACCTGTAATCCACACACGACCTGGATTACCCCTGGAGAATGACATGAAATGCATTTGCCTTCTCTCTCTAGAAATGTTCATCACCGTCTGCTAGGTAAAATAAAACTATGCCCAGCAATGTAAAATTTTATTTGAATTGGTCAAAGGAAAATGAAAAAGGCAGGAATAATCCAGAGTCAAAAGCTTTTTATCCTGCTTTTTGCAAAGAAAAACAAAATAGCTTGGGAAGCAGATTTAGAACTCGTTAGCAAACACAAGCAAAAGTGACGGTTTTGCTAAACACCAGTGTATAACCACCTCTCTGAGAACTCTTAGAAGCAGCTAGGATGAAGGGAATAAACTGGTGTTTGAATAGTAGTGTCTCCACGGTCCTAAACAAACATAAAAATACTTAATATTTCGTCTTCATTGGAAAGTCTTAACTCAGTTAAATACGTGCAACTAGAAAGTGAAATAAAGCTAGTGGAGTGCCTGTGCTGCTGCAAGTAGTACTGACACACAGTGGTAAAAACTGGAATTGCAATTACAGTCTCGGAAGGAAATAGCCAGCTTACCAGAGCTTCCATTCCCCTGAGCTATGCATCAGTGTATGTTAAATAGAAGTTATGCAAATATTTAGGCATTTATTCAATTAAGAGTAAAATAGAGTAATCAGGAACATTCAGGGTTAGTGAATTCAGTCACTTCTAAACACTTTTTTTTTTAATAAATAGGCATATGATGTAAAGAAAATAAAAGAATTTCAATTATATTCTGGAAAGAAAAACAAGTATATTCTTATGCTTTCTTGACAGCTGAAGGAAAGGTGTCAATTAAGCACATGAATGGTCCAAAATTTTACTTTGGAATTCAATTTGGTCAGATATTTCTCTCAGATATTTTGGCCAGATATTGCTAGGTTGTTTTTAAGGCAGTTGGTTCATTGACCCCTGAAATAGAATTTAGAGATAACCATATCCAACTCCCTTATTTTTCAGTCAAGAAAAGTAGAGCTCAATAATTTTAGGAAGTAATGTCCAAAATCACATGGTAAGATGGTGGCACATTAAAAATAAAACAGACCTCATAACCTTAACATACGGGCTCTTTCCTTTACACCATACTTCTTAGCACTTCCAGGAAATGGATTTAGAGCTCAAATCTTTTAGAAACAAACTATAGACTTAAAACTATTTCCTATTAACTCTTGATTTCCTATTAAATTCTTGGTCTAAAAATAGTAGAAACTTAATTCTGTGCATTCTATATTGGTATGGTAATGGTACTTTGCTGATGGTTAAATTGATTTGCCATTACTTCTTTGGAATTGAGAAAGTTGTATGATCCTGAGAGCATATTAACTATGTTACTAGTTTCACATCATAGTTATTTTCAGAGTGTAAAAAATACTTTGATAAGGTACTTTAATAACTTGTGTACAACGTTTCTATAAAAATTTAAAGTGATAAGACATTACCTCCACTAACTTTTATCAAATGTCTAGCACATGCCACAAACAACATATCCATAAGTAAAACTGAGAAACTGGCATTAATGAACAATAATTAACACATTGTGGACTGTAGTTTTATTGCTAGCTTTACCCAGTGGCCAGGTAAGTTTCTATTGAACCAGTACAAAAAATGTTTTTTGTATAAATGTTAAGGCATTCTTTAAAATTAAATGCCCATTACACTTTAAAGTTATTTATTACATGTTCTTGCAAGCTAATGTCTTTTTAAAGTATGATTGGCCACAAGCTTTAGAGCAGGAAACACGAGAATTCTCGTGATCCGTCCGCAATGTGTTAAGGACTTTTAAGCACGTATAATCAATCACATGATCACTTAACAAAAAGAGTGGTTCGGTGACTCTACTTTATTAAAACGATCCTTGCTTAGGTGTGTTAAAATAATGGTCACATCTGAATACCCAGTGGATCATAAGAGGTAAAGCAGGTTGCCTCCTTTCTGGAGACAGTTTCCATTTCAGGATGAGTACCCTTCATACAATCTCATACAATGTTTTCTCTTGACTTATTACTGTTTCCTTTTAATACTGCACCTTTTCCTTTGAGTATACAAAAAGTCACACAATCCATTTCAGTTTGTTTTGGATTGCGGAAAAACCAACATAAGGAGGAATTGTAGTTTTCTTAGCCCAAGTCTAAAACAATCGGAAGTGTAGAACCTTCACTTCCTATAGGATGTTTTAATGCATATGACAATATTATTTAGGCTCATCCCAAGCTGGCAATCCAAAGTTTCTGACCACTCTAGGGGTGTTCTAAGAGTGCTCTGAAACTGACACTTTCTGAGGACCAACTGTGGTTTGTGGTTGTGTGTCCCAGGAAGGGAGCCATCCACACAGATGCAATGTTCCCAGGCTCTTGGGTATCACAAACATAGAGAATTCATATTCCTAAATCGAAATATAAGTACATGGCTTTATTTATTTACTTGTTGGTCTTCCTTCTTAGTTAGTGTTTATTTTTCCACCTTTCCAGTGTCTGATTCAGAGTTGAGTTAAAATAATCTTGTAAAGTTATCACATCAGCAAACCAAACTTTTTTCCCCTAAGTTTATATTTATTGAGAACCTAGAAATCTGAATGTTTTTTAGGAACTAAAAAAATATTACAATATGACTTTTTTCCATCTATTGGGGGGACTATTCTTTTGCAGAAGATGCTTTTGTTTATTTCTGGTCAAGATTCCATTCTCATTTAGTAAGATGGAATTAAAAGAAAATATTACTTAATGGAAACAATTTTATATTCTGCTCCATAAAAGGGCTTGTCAAACTGATCTACATAAAGAATCTCAAAATTACATACATATATTTTAACTGTTTAATTGGTGCTAATTTACAAATAGAAACTACAGTTATAGAAATAGTTCTTCAAGTGTTCAATTTTCACTAAGAAGGTTTTAATCTAGTAAAATATTTCTTATAGGTAAGAACTAAAGGTAAAATGTGTCAAATTCTGCATTTCTGGCTAGCATTTTTAGACATTCATATAGAATATTTTCAAACTAGAATTTCAGTTCTTCATCAGACCAGATGAAGTGATAAAGAAGTTTATTTGTGATGAAGAAGTAATCAAATAGTACCAAAGCCAAGACTATTTAATACACATTTTCCTATATATTCTAAATATCACTGTCATCTCCAGCATTCTAGAGCCTGATTTTCTCTTACCTTTTAGATATTTTAGCAATTATTCTAGTGGGTGGCCATTGGAAGTGAAAAATTCTTATATAACATTTTTGCTTAATATCTATTTCACTATACTGTTCAGAATGGAGCATGAAAATGGTGTGTATAATAAGCATTTGGAATTATTTATCAGTTTTTATTTCCTCCAACCATGGACAGCTGATCAAAATGTTAAAAGTCAACTTTTTTAAGGCTATATATTGGTTCATTAAATCATTTATTATAAACTTACCTGAAAGATGGTTAACAACTTAAAAGATGTAATAATCTATACCTGACGATTTCAGTTCAAGCCAAATTCTGTGGTTTTTATTAAAATGTTATGCCTATGTTGACAGATGAAAGATGTCTCAAGTTCTGCTTAAATTTTAGGTTTTAAAGATAACACAACATGACAAAAATTTCTTTTAAAAAAGTTTATGCTTTATAAGGATTGAATGACTACAAAGTTTTTTTTAAATCTTCAAACCATTCCTTTATGTAGGAAATTTCTATTTATAGCCGATTTCCAACATAAGGAGCAGTTACGGATTTTTCTTTTTTTTCTCCCAGGGAGTGTTTAGGTTGTAATGTGAGTAAAACAGAGCAATACAGTGCTTTAAATCAGAAGAGAAAGCAATAGATGGGAAGAAAATAAAAACCCTGTGGCACGATTTCTTTTGGGGAAGACATTTTTCTGATCATAATAAATGCTGTTTTTAATCTCAACTTTGGCAATATCCTTTGTAGCATACCTAATTTCATGCTCATGGACAAAGTACAATTTTTTCACGGTACTATGCTTCTGTCTTAACAGGCCTCCTTGTATCAATCCTCTATAGATAGAAGCCTGGAAAGACCCAGTAGGTAAGAATGTTATTACGTTATGCAGCTGGAATATTGTGTACCAGTGCATCATGTTTTTATTTTATGTACAATACTTCATAAAGTTGTTTTGTTTTTGCATCATTTTATATGATCATATTCAAAAGTTTATAAAAATCAAGGGAAATATTTCGGGACTCCTTTACAGACTGAGAAATTCTACCCTTCCCTGTCTCCTCTATAACCATATCTTTAAATGGGGATTATAAATATCTAACTTTCAATACTATTATATGACACATTTAATACAGGATGGGGCAAAAGTAAGTTGACAGCTATAATATGAATAAATAATAACACAGAATAAACTGTTTTGTATACACACACCTGAAAACTACTGTTGCCTACCCCTGTATATTTGAAAAATTTTACAAAACACATATGTGTTCATTTACTCTTACCACACAAATTAGAATTACTGTTACTGCCAATAAATAAGGACTTACACTATATACCAAGCATTCTATGATAAGTACATAGGCATATTCAATCCTGAAGACACCACTGTGACTTAAGTACCATCACCCCCATTTTATCTCTGAGAATGCTGACACTTAGGCTCCATAACTTACTAAGTTTACACACTTGACAAGAAGCAGAGACAGAGTAAAATTGACCCAACAATAGCTTGTAACCAATCACTAGTCCTGCCTTAAAAGTCTGCCGAGGTACGTTCTGTTTGTGGGCTTTGTATACCATACTTACTTTAAAATATTACAGAAATTCCGACACAGTTCAACAGCATTATCAAATAACTCAAGCTCCCAGCCACACTTTATCATCAACAACACATATTTTCATAACATAAATTTCCCTTTCCTAGATTTCTCTCAGCGTAAGTAGAAGACTTTGTAAACTGGGCCCATGAGTGCCATCCAGTGGTGGTCAGTGCGCATCATAGCAACTGGTCATTCCCGGATGCCTGCTGTTGGGGTCAATTTGCCTATTACCTTTTTATTAGATAGGATAGTATTTAATATCAAGGAACAAATTTCTAAAAATGCAGTTTGGGGGTGGGGGAGAAGAGTTATAGCACTTGCTAGCAAATCCCACCCGTCTTTCTGATTCATGTTAACCCCCTCCAACACCAACCAAACTGCAGTGATTCCTTCTTGCAGCTCTGCAGGCCTGGCCAGTGACTTCCGGAAAAGGAGGAAGAGCGAGCCAGCAGTGGGGCAGCCAAGGGGCCTGGGGGACCCAAGGGCGAGCAGGACCAGCCCTGGCCAGGCGGACCACCCAGGATCAAGCGCCACCCTGACCCAGTCTTTCATTAGCTCTTCCCCTTCCTCTCCATCCAGAGCAAAAGGTAAACAGCAGTGAATAGAAATGTAAACACGTTGCTAGTACATGTTTTAAGCTGGAGTTCCCTGTGAATGCTGGTCCGGGGATAACCATACAGAGACAGCATTTCGATGAACTTTTGGAACAATAGCTTTCTTCCTACACAAACTAACTCAGGTTGAGCCATCCAAGTGGCATAAAGGAGTCTATCTTCTGTTAATGCTTTTTTCCTTCCAAATATGTCATTTTTGGGAGTGTTTTTTTAGGGGTGGGGGGACAAATTCAAAGTATCAAATAGTTTACTGGCAGGCTAAGAAAGGATTACATTTGCAAACACTTGCATATTATCAACTTTTTCTAATGTTCTACAACTAGCAAAATTAATCAAAGTTACAGAATAGGAAGTAGAAGTAGCAACAGAGAACATTGTTGCCTAAAATGAATTGGGCTTTTTTATTATTATTTAATTCCTGATAAAAATCTGTCTAACCTGTGAAGTCATTTCTTTAATCACCTGCTCTCTATTTCGGTCAATATGCATATATACAGTAGGATATCCATCAATACCGTGTTCATTCCATGATGGCACGGTGATAAGAACGAACCGGTTTTCGGCCATAATTATAAAGCTTAGACACCAACAAGCCCTTTTCCATATGATCTGTCTCTTCTCCGGAATCCAGCGAGCTGTGCTGAGAGGGGTGCGGCACGTTACTCCTTCATGTCCCTGACATCCTGCTGTGTGCATTAGTGCCACCGTAACAGGGATGTTGCTAAGAGGGAGACTGAGGCTTGAACCAGTGTCACCTGGGTCTATACCAAATCTGGGGCTCCACAGTCTCCTCCCACCTCCTGGGGTTGAGACAGAACCGAGAAGGAATCTGAAATGTATGAAGAAAGCAGCCTTTCACAGGAGCTTCTGTGCAATAGCACAGATTCCGCCACATCTACCCAATGCAGGCACTAACAGCGTGGCCACGTGGTAGTTCAAGGGGAGAGGGAGCTGGTTTGCGTGCAAAAGATGGGCTGGTTTTGATGCCTAGAGTCTGGATAGACAGAAGACACCAGCTCTGCTCTATATCCTAATAAAACTGAAAACTAACCAGAAGGTTGGGGGTTGGAGGAGACCCTTTGATACCTGTCCTCAAATTAGCAAGATTGCCTTTATCAGAGTCTGCTCATTGGTGCAAATGAATGTCTTAAGGTAACACACAGGTCCCCAAATGCCATTAGTCTTTATGCTTGGAGACCACCCAAAAGCTAAACAGATTGATTGACTTAGCTGTGTGTGTTCCTCCGAGGGAGTGTTAAGCCAACTTCCTTTCCCAAACCCTACCTATCTGCTTTTTATGTGCCTGTTTACGTTCCAAGAAGTTGGAAAGATTGCAAGGCAGGTGCTCAACAGAGTTATTTTCTGCCACTTGGTTTATTTCTAAGAAAAGGTCTCTTTAGATGGACTTGGCTTCTTACCTATTAGTCAATTCAGCCAAGCAAAAGAAAAGAGTTCTCCCATGCATGCTCTGAACTGAGGCCATGCTGAGCTCTGTTATCAAATGGTAAGCGAGGTTTTAAAAAGACCCTCCCCGGGGAAAGCAGGATGCCTTTACCCCTGGTGAAAGTTTCACATCATATATACCCAGCCATGCTCGTGACAGCCTGCCTCCCAAAAGGTTGTAGGTGGAGCGAGTAAGGAGGTACGTTAGTTTTGTTTGAAGACACGCTAGTTTGTGTATTTTTTTTTCCCCTCTGGAAAATGTTAGCAGCCATAGTTCACAGCGTCTTCATTTTGCCATTTTAGAAAATACTTCATCTTACAGCTTTTCCCAGCTAGTGCCCATGAAAAATTAACTAAGGCAGTTGTGGAGTTTTAATTAAATGCAAATTTACAAAGTACGCTTTACCTTTCTGTTAGTATATATCAAATGAGATTCAAATCCTGACCCTATTAACTTGATTATCTATATCATTTGGGGCATTCATTATTAAACCCTTAAATTGCTACCAGGTCATGCTGTTAGCGTATACAATACTCTACCATATTTGAGGCAAATGATATTTGCAGAAAGATGTACGAAGTGTTCAGTAGAGGAAATAGGTCTTACTAGCTATTGGTCATATTAGCTATACCAGTGGTCGGCAAACTCATTAGTCAACAGAGCCAAATATAAACAGTACAACGATTACAATTTCTTTGGAGAGCCACATTTTTTTTAAACTTAAACTTCTTCTAACACCACTTTTTCAAAATAGACTCGCCCAGGCCGTGGTATTTTGTGGAAGAGCCACACTCAAGGGGCCAAACAGCCGCATGTGGCTCGCGAGCCGCAGTTTGCCAACCGCGGAGCTACATCAGTGATGTTTTATGCATGGTCTTGTCAATTCTAATATCTCTACAGCCTCCTTCAGTGCAAACACAGTATCATGCCTTAGGATGAGACCATTTTCTCCGTAGGGGGAGTTTGGAGGGTAACCATGTGTCTGTATTAATCCCGCTGCCTTCTCTTTGCTGCCTGTCTGTCTGATGCTAACTGACCTGCTCTCTGCTCTCTGTGAAACTTTTAACCTCTCCGCACGTCTCTCTCCCGCCACGCTGCTCTGGATTGAAAGGTGGGGATGAGAGCAAAATGTGTGCACCCCTTTGCAGCTGCTCAGGGCCCCGCGGCAGCGCCTGCCCGGAGCTAGACGGCTGTCCCGCGTACGGACAGCACCTGGACGTCCCGCGAGACTCGCAGCGGGCCCTGGCCTTCAAGAACGGCTGGCAGATGGCCCGGCAGAACGCCGAGGTCTGGAGCAGCACCGAGGAGGCCGTGTCCCCCAAAATCAAGTCCCGCAGCTGCGACGACCTCCTGAACGATGAGGACTGCGACGGCGGCTTCCCCGACCCCAGAGCCAAGTCGGAGAGCATGGGCTCCCTGCTCTGCGAGGAGGATGCCCGGGAGGGCTGCCCGGGGCCGTGGGCACCCTCCTTCCTGCAGGAGCCCAGGGCCGGCGGCCGGTCCCGGCTCCGCCACAGGCCGGCCCACGACGCCCCGGGCTTCCTGAAAATGTACAAGAAGATGCACCGCATCAACCGCAAGGACCTGCTGAGCTCCGACGTGATGTGCTCCGTGAAGTCCAGGGTCCTGCAGTACGAGAAGGAGCCACACGCCCGGGGCCTGCTGCCCGGGTGGAGCCAGGCCTCGGCCGACGAGGTGCCCAGGGACATGGTGCCCACCCGCATCTCGGAGTTCGAGAAGCTGATCCAGAAGTCCAAGTCCATGCCCAACCTCGGGGACGAGACGCTCTCCCCCGCGGCCCTCGAGCCGCAGCTCCCCGGGCTCTGCCCCTCCAGGCGGTTCTCCGTGGAGTCCTTGCTGGAGGAAGACCCCCCGAGCAGGCACCCTTGCCCCGGGCCACGGGGCTACACGTCGAAAAGCCTGGTGCCCATCCACATCGAGGTGACCAGCGACGAGCCGCCCAGGGCCCAGCTGGAGCTCTCCGACAGCGACCAGGACGGCGTGGTGTCCGAGCACAGCGACTACGTTCACGTCGAGGGCTCGTCCTTCTGCAGCGAGAGCGACTTCGACCACTTCTCCTTCACGTCCTCCGAAAGTTTCTACGGCTCCGGCCACCATCACCACCACCACCACCACCACCACCACCACCGGCACCTCGTCAGCTCCTGCAAAGGCAGGTGCCCGGCGTCGTACACCCGCTTCACCACGATGCGAAAGCACGAACGCACCGAGCACGAAAGCACCGAGGAGCCCAGGAGGCGGGACCCGGACCCCGGCCTGTCCAAGCTCGCCTTCCTCGTCAGCCCCGTGCCTTTCCGGAGGAAAAAGCATCCGACGCCCAAAAAGCAGGCAGAAAAGGCAACCTGCAAAACGGCCGTCTTCGAGGCTCTGGACTCGGCCCTCCAGGACATCTGTAACCAAATTAAGGCGGAGAAGAGGAGGGGGAGTCTGCCCGACAACAGCATCCTGCACCGTCTGATCAGTGAGTTGCTGCCAGACGTGCCCGAAAGGAACTCCTCGCTGAGAGCTCTGAGAAGGAGCCCCCTGCCCCAGCCCTGCCACCCGCTGCCCCAAGATGGTGCTACCCACTGTCCATGGTACCAGAGCGACTGTGGGAGGCTGCCTCCCAGCGCCTCTCTCCCAGACATGGACGCCAATAACAACTACCACCCAGACCTCGACAGTGCCCTGGGTCTGCAAGGTGGACCAACCTTCCTTTGTCTCTCCTTGCGGTTCCGATGCCCACCCTCCAGCTCTGTCGTTTTCCATCCCCGCATCTCATCCCTCATGCGCCTCACCGCGTAGATCTCATCTTTCCATGTGATGGTTGGACGTGGTGTGTGTGGCATGACTGGATCACCAGTTCACAAAAATTTACTCATTTGAAATTGAAAGGGAAAGTGGTTTTGTAGCTCAATGGTAGGGTTGAGACAACTGTTAGTTACAACACAACAAGAAATCAAACACGTTACCAGTTTTAAGCAATGTTAATCTCCTTAAGAGATTAACACCTTTGCACTAGATCTTAACTAGCCACTAGTTTTTTTTTCCTGGATTTTTTTTTCTTAAACTTTGTAGTCATTCACTCAATAAGTAAGTTGCTTACATTCTATGTAGAAGATTCTACAGCAAAGTACTCAGGAAGCAAAACTGAAATATGTAGCAAAGTATTGGATGGATGATTACAAGAGACTAGGATTTATTTAACAACTTTCTCCACTTAAAGGACACGACTAGGGTAAAATTTTTGTGAATGTATCTTTAAACTGCATGTATATATAACAGTCTCCTTTCCATCACTCAGTGTATTCCTTTTCTTTTCCATTCCATTGCTTAATTTATCTATTTTCTATTTCTGCTACAGTAACTCCATACTGACATTAGAATTAGACCATTTAGGCTAAAAGTGACTCTCAACTCTATTTTCATAGATGGATTATCACCTTGAATTGGCAATGCAAGAACAGATAGCAATTCAGATGCAGAAAATGTTTTTTTGAGTTTACATAACTGAAAAGTCACGGCATTTTGATATCTTTATACCATTGTTTTCATGAATCCTTAAGGTGCAGCTGCTTTCTATGTAGATTTTAAGATCACCAGACATTGCAAAATGTTTCACATGCATTATCCAGTTAACACTGGCATACAACTAGGTGATAGGGATTATTATAAGCACTGTTTTACAATGAGGGAGATTGAGACGCAGGGAGGACAATAAATTTGACCAAGGTCATGTAGAGAGAAGGTAGCACTAACAGATTTAAACTCCTAACACTTCAGAATTTGTAATATAGACTATATCTCCATAGGCAAAAAAAGACATAATTCAAACTTTATATTAATGTAATATATGGCTCACTAATTCTCATTGCACAACTTTACTATGTTATTACAGTATTTATCTTCACTCTATTTACACTATGCAACATGATTCAAAAACAATAAATTCGCATTTTCAAAATCAATGTCTACAATTTGAAATTTTTGCTGACTGAGCCATGTCAGAATCTAATTTTTTAATAAATTAGCTACTTTTTCCAGTTATTCAAAGTCCTAGTTTAATCACCACTCAACATTATATGCAGATAGAGTATATGCTATCAGTAAGGCATGAGTGCAGAGAGCTTTGCAGTGCATTTCAAGGGTATTTTGTATTTTATTAAAATATTTACTTTTCCAGCTGTGCTTAGCAAAAGTAATTTAAAATTTGTGATCACTATGAAAGCCCTGTGATCATAAAACTATATTAATTTACAATGAAAAAATACTGCACATAAACCTGTAGCAGTCATGAAAATGACTGGTTAAATTTACCTGAATATTATTGCCAGGTTACCTTGCTAAATCTAAAGACTCCACACCTCATAGAGAGTTAGGCATTTATCTTTAGCTGTCATGTAACTGACATGACACCTATTATCAGTGGACAATTCTTCCTGGTCATCAAAATAGTCAAAACCTTTAGACCATATTTTCTTTTTATAAATCGGTATTTCTCATCCCTTTATGGATGGATTTATTTCATACTTACTGCATCTTGCTATTCAATATAACTACATTTATTAAAGGCATAAGAGAAAAAAATTTACAAATTTTGATCCAGTTATACTGGTAAAATTTTATAACATGGGCCATTAGAATACTTTTAAGTAACATTTCCACATATAAATGTGTAAGGTATAAGATACCATTAAGAGATCCTTGCAATCATAATTCTGTAAAGTAACTGATTATTTATATTTTGCTTTAAGGGGAACAAAAACAATTTACTATTTCATAAGCAATTTGGCAACGGATGTTTAGAGAATGTTTATCCCTTTGTTTCTTGGGATAAATGTTTACTTTCTGATCAGCTAAGTTGAGCACAAGGAAAGAACAGAAATAAGGCCTTTTAGCATTAAGCCTCAAGATGACATCTCAAGTCTCAATAAATACTTAAAAACAGAGAGAGGGAGAGAACGGACATTACAGTAGTTATGTTGTCATCATCATAGTTTCTTTTTTTTTTATTGCATTCTTAAATTGTTTGTTGTTCCACAAAATGTCTCCATTTCTGAACATTAGTGTTATTATCCATCTTCTCTAGGCCTTAAAAATAGTCATTATAAATTGGAGGCAAAAAGAATAGAAATAGAAAATATTAAAAAGTCTTTGAGATGACAAATTCCTGCCAACTGGGACCTTCCTGGCCTGGAGGCTGCTGTATAATTATATCAGCAATGCAACCATTTTATTTATAGGTACGACTATGATACTTCTGCAACTTCAGGTAGTTTTCCTTTTGAAATGCTCTGTTTTTATGTCTAGTGTCACAACTGTATGATTCCCTATGAGTTTCATACCCATGTTTTCCATCGTGGTGTCTCTCCATGCTTAAGGGCAGAAATAGTTGTCACCAGGGAGAATAGCTCACCATGTCTGCCTTGATAGATGGGTGCTCACTCTGGCCCTGTCCTTTCAATAGACCGAGAGTCCCCTAGAAGTTACGCGTCCGCTGTGACTGACTTGGGGAGGAGTGCACCGAGGGAAAGAAGAGGAGGAACTCCGGAAAAAGAGGTAGTTTGTTCAATTGCATTTAAGTTTCTGTCAATAAGATACCTGAAAACCAGTCCAAGTGACATCCAAATCCAGTAAAGAACACAGACTAAAAACATAAAGATGACAATGGAAAAATGTAGAACATTTTCCCTGGAGTCTGAGCAAAGGACTGGAGAGTTTGTGTTCTGACCCCAGCTGCAGATCAGCCCCAGCTGTGGTCCAGCTGTGGCAGTGAGACCTCTGTGCATCTGAACCTCACAGCCATGAATGAACAGTCATGGTCTAAAAGCATCTGCAAACTCCTGCTCCAGGGATGTAGGGAGAGCCTTAGGTCAATCATGTTGCAAATCAATACAAAGGCTAAGTAGATATTTGTTGCTGGCCTGCTTTTGTTTGTGAGGGTCCCTCAAAAACCACTGCCCTGTAAGAGATCAACCAAAGGACTTGTGTGCATGCATATATGCATAACCAATGGACACAGACAATTGCGGGGGTGAGGGCCTGGAGTGGAAACAGGCTGAGGGAGGTTAATGGGCAAAAAGGGAGACATATGAAATACTTTCAACAATAAATAATTTTTTAAAAATCACTGCCCCTGGAAATCACCTGCCCACTAGCTCTTGAATGCCCTGAGCCAGGCCTGGAGCTCTGGCTCACACTACCTTGGAGCCCCGATGATCTGGTGGGGTCTGGAGGCTGGTCTTGGACTGGCAGCCCCTCCAGGAGTATCTCTATAGGTGTCTGATAGAGCCCTGTGCCCGTGAGACCCCCCGCCAAAAAAAGTCAAGAATGGTCCAGGCTGCCTAAAGCTCACCAGAATCACAGAGAAAAAGAGTGGGGTGAGGGACTCATTAGGAAGTAGGGAAGGAAGAGCTGGAGTAGCTAGCTTGCCGGTGCTCCAGTCAGATCTGTGGGCTCCAAGGTTTGATGGAGAGCATACGTCACATGTCATGACTAAAAGATGAGCAGCCGATTTATGTGCTAAAGAATTCCTGAACCCTTCGGGGAATGCAAGGTCATCCAGCCTATACTGTTGGCCACTAACTAGCCTCCCAGTGATAACTGGGCTAATGTTTCTCTGCTACTATGTTGATAAGTGTTTAGAAAAAGGAATGATGACTTCCTTCCCAACTTTCACCAGTCCTTTTATTAGGATTCAGATGGAGCTGTGCCAATACATAAGACATAGATAACTGACTCCACAGTTATCCCAGAAAATGCCTTGGTTACAGCCAAAATTATACCTGGGACAGAATCCTCTGCAGATATTTTATTCCCCTACTAGAGGTCCAGTGCACGAATTCGTGCACGGGTGGGGTCCGGCTGGCCCACCCCAATGTGGGCCCATGTGGGAGAGGGGCTATGGGAGGGCTCCAGGGTGTGTCCCTCCTGTCTCATTCAGTCCCTATCAGCCAGACCCAGCAGCAAGCTAACCTACCAGTCAGAGCGTCTGCCCCCTGGTGGTCAGTGCATGTCATAGTGAGCAGTTGCACGGCCTTAGCATATCATTATCAGATTAACCACTTTGATTGGTTGAACAGATGACTATACAACCTGACACTTAGCATATTAGGTTTTCATTATATAGGATTATGACATTCATCTACATTAGTTACTAAGATGAAATATGGCATTCAATAATTATGGTAAATAAGCCATCTATTATATTCCTGCTATAGCTTAAGCGTCTAAATGAAGAACTGATTTACTCATAAATTGCATATAGAATTTACATTGTATATTTTTAATCATTCCTTGAGGTTTCACTTCTCTTTAATTCCTGTGAAACTGCTTTCTTGTCGGAAACCCAACATTTTAATCTAGTGCTAATCATTTTCCTTCCTTTCCAGAAACTGCCTGCAAAAGCTGTTTATGACTTTAAGGCTCAGACATCTAAGTAAGTACGATAGGTATTCATCATATGATTTAAGTTGGCTTTATACCCTTCAATAATACCTTAAGAGATAAATATTGCAATGGGACGTGTTCAAATAATTCAGCGATACACTCGAACTGAATTAATTGGGATGTGGGTAATTTTACTTTCATTTTGAGTTTAGAATCATTGAGTTATAAACTACACAAAATATATTACAGCACAATGAATTCAAATGGGTAGGTGAAACAAAAAAAGAAATTAAGCATCTTTGTTTCTCGAATTTTATGTCAAGATGAAGTGAAAATAAGGAGTTGGGGAGTGATTAACACTTTCTGGGAGGATTTGATAACATTTATTTATCCAACTGAATCAAGGACAGTTTGCAGGGTTGAAGACTAGAACTGTGCACAGATTCCTACCATAAAATCTCCATGTATCAACACTCAAAGCTTAGCAATTCCAGTTTGACTTAGTGGACAGAGCGTTGGCCTGCAGACTGAAGGGTCCTGGGTTCAATTCCAGTCAAGGACATATGCCTGGGTTTCAGGGCCAATTCCCCAATAGGGGGTGTCCAGGAGGCAGCCAATCAATAGTTCTCTCTCATCATTGATGTTTGTTTATATTTCTCTTTCTTCCTTCCTCTTTAAAATCAATAAAAATATTTTTTTTAAAGAAAAAGCTCAAGTCTGAGCAACATTTTCTCCTGCGGCCTTTGGTATTGGTGTTTTCATACTCCTCTGTTGCAATACATCCTTTCCCTTTTTTCTTCGGGCTCTTGTTCATCAGATGGGCATGTGGTTGAGGAAAGTCAGTACAGGAAGTAGGTACATGAGTTGGCTCAACTGGGAGGGGGTCTGCCACCTTTCACGAGCCCAGGTGCCCAGACATTATTTAAGAAACTTGAGTCTCTCTTAGAATTCAAGATATTAAATTCATTGTAAATCGGTATAAAATTACACTGTGCAGTTTAGACTGAATTTAGACAATAATTCAAACATTTATTCATGAAAATGCATATTGTATAAATTCATTGTTCCAGAGTCTGTCTCTAGTAGAAGACAGAGAGAAAATAAAATCATTCCGAATTGACTGTGGCTGCTGAGATAGGGAATGAGCCAAATAAGAAAATTGCTATTTAGAAATTAAGATGTTGACCATGGCTTAAATCTGCTGTTAAATATATATATATTTATATATATATATATTCCTAAAAGAAAAGCTCACACTTTTCGAACTATTATTAGAGAAGTAACATCTGCTTTGTGTCTATTATACTCTGGTCCTCACTACTACTATTCTTTGAATCTAGTGTGACAATTGGAGGATGCATGTCGGTTTTATAAAATAACGATAGAGAACACGTGAATTTCATTTCCTCTTTGTGACAGTCCAAGGTTAGCAAAGGCTCGGGGAAGCCTGCTCTTCCACCGGCCGCCTGTGGGAGCATATGCAACAGACCGGAGGGTTTGCCCGCACCACTCCTCCCATAAGCCCTTCCTAAACCCACTAACCCTAAAGGTGTACGCCTCAGAGGAGCAGGGTCAATAGTCACCAAGGAAGCCATCCCTTGCTTTTAGGCAGAGAAAAATGTCCCCCTCCCACCATTAATAAATATATCTCATTGCAGCTTCCTCACGTTCCTCTTGCTTTGCTCTCGTACACATAGAGCCGCTGCCCATCATCCCTGTGCAATGACCTATTTGCAACGAAAGTCAGGGTTTGGGCCGACTCAGGCAACTTTCAAAGGCTCCCACCAGCCAGCTCTGAAAGTTACGGAAGGGCTAGCCTCATTTTTAAGTCATTTCCATTAGTGCCTAGACGGGAGATATGGGTACCTGTTTTAGGTAAATATCTATCTCAAAAGCTATTTTTATTTACTTAATACATGAGATGTATTTAATTTTTAAAAATACAGCTATGGAACTCATCCAATGTAATGCCTCAATTGCTAAACAGGAAAACCAGGTAAAAATCACAGTTCCAAAGGTACAATATCATAAGCAAATCCTAAGAATTTGTAAGGAAAATCCTTATCCCACTAGGTTGGACAGATTTTTTTTTTTTTTTAATAACTGCCACGTGTCCAAAATAGAAGCCATCCCCCCACACCATGATATTTTGAATTTAATTTTTTTAGAAAACCAATTTGCGATGAATAGTCTAAAAAATAGATATATGACTCACAATACGGGTGCTCTGGAATATGTTCAGCTGAAAATTCTCATACACACACACAAAAAAACAAAGATCTTAAAGTTGGTCTGTAGATGCTTAGGGCGCACAATGGGTCAAGCATCAGAAGTCTATTTCCCAGCCGAATGCGGGTCTAGTGATCTTAGGAATAACTGCTCTTCGCGGAGAAAAAAAAAAAGCCCACGTGAGCATGTCTCTCCCAGGGAGCTGTCGTTCAAGAAAGGAGACACGGTCTACATCCTCAGGAAAATCGACCAGAACTGGTACGAGGGCGAGCACCACGGGCGAGTGGGCATCTTCCCCATCTCCTACGTGGAGGTGAGTCCTCCCCCCACCTGCTCACACAGGGGCTCCTCCCAGGTCCTCTCTGGTCCGGAATAAACCGCTGCTTTCCTCCTAGAAGCTGTCCCCTCCGGAGAAAGCGCAGCCCGCCAGGCCGCCGCCCCCGGCCCAGCCCGGAGAGATCGGGGAGGCGATTGCCAAGTACAACTTCAACGCGGACACGAACGTGGAGCTGTCGCTGAGAAAGGTACGGGCTGCAGCCTGGGCTGATGCATCTCCCAGGCTGTCTTTTGCCCTATGGCGTCTGTGTTTTTCCATAAAGAAAGGCCAGAGGACCCCCTGCCCCTGCCCCTCCCAGGGTGCCTGGGCCTGAGCACCAGGAGCTGGACTTGGGGAAAGGCAGAAGTGGGAGGAGCACCTCCACAGCCTGCAAGAGGCTGCTCTTCTGCTGCCTCCTCATTCCGTTTCTTTTTTCATATTGATTAATACTATGCTTCCCTTGGTCCCCTAACCGGTTTGGCTCAGTGGATAGAGCGTCGGCCTTCGGACTGAAGGGTCCCAGGTTCCATTCCGGTCAAGGGCATGTACCTTGGTTGCAGGTACATCCCCAGTAGGCCCAGTAGGGGGTGTGCAGGAGGCAGCTGATCAATGATTCTCTCCCATCGATGTTTCTAACTCCCTATCCCTCTCCCTTGCTCTCTGTAAAAAAACAATTATATATATATATATATATATATATATATATATATATATATATATATTTAAATAATAATAATATGCTTACCTTGGAATCCAGAAAGGTCCTGCAGTCAGGACATTTTCCTTCTCAGGGGCCTCATGATTGACCTCCATTTCATGGGAGTCTATCCCATCCCAGTGCCTCTTCCTAGCAGGACGGAAAGACGCTAACTTGCTACTTTACACACCTGGGAATGGGCCCATCAGCTGTGTTCGGTGTCTGCTAAGCAATCACATCCTTTTGCTTGAGGCGCCTGCCTGTCTGCGCAAAATGCAGAATAGACTGCGGTCACATGGGGATGGAGGGTGCGGGCCAAGAGTGCCCCTGCCTGTGGTGACTGCCAGGTGCGACCCCTGTCCTCCTCCTGGCCCAGAGCCTCCCCTCCTCCTCCCCTGGGAGACCTGGGTCTGCATCAGCAACCGGTTCCCTCTTACCCTCCCAGCGGCCACATGGCATCTTGAGTGGCTTGTTCCATTCTTTCCATGGAAGCTTCCACCCCTGCAATGAGCGCTCAAGCAGGAGCCTGGCGTCAGCCTCGTGTGGGGTGTTACAGGGGAAAGCAGCGCACGTTTAAGATGCAGGGAGACCCACGTAGCTGTGGTATGTCCTGCTCCGTGGCCGTGGGACAGTCTAGATAAGCCACCCGCATCTGGCCAAAGGCAGGCTTTCGCCTTGAGTACCCCTGTCAAAGCCGAAGCTCTGACCTGTGCCAGCCACCTCTAGGGTCCTGGCAGGTGCAGCTGCCCACACTTCCACATCACCTGCTGGCTGCAGCTTTTTTACCATCTAACCACATCTTGCCCATTTATTTCTGGGCCACATGTGGTTTTGAGTTAAAATGTAAACTGTTCTGTGGCCTTGGCTTGATGCCTGCACGTGGCAGGGTTCGTGGTTGTAGAAAGATCTCTTATTCCAAAAGCTCGAAGTTTTATAAAAGGACTTAACGGCCACTGGCAATGCAACCCATCCCTCAGCATGGAAGCTGGTGTGAGGCCGTCCGGGTGCAGACCTGGCGGGGTCAGCCCCGGCCACAGACGCGGATTGTCACAGGGCTGTCTCTGCCCACCCCGTTCGCTTCCCTCTTTGTCACTGGTTAGCATGTGCAGGGTAAAAAGAAAAATGGTGTGCCAGCCAACCTCATCCCTTCCGGGGGCTGGTTCCCGCAGCCCACGCAGGCCCACCTCACAGAGAGCTGAGTGACACTTCCGGAAGCTCCTGCCTCCCCCAGAAGCTCATTCTGAGGCCTCTGTCAGCGACAGGATGCTGTTGTCAGGGAGACATTGCCTATGAAACCGTTCTGCTTCTTGACATGACACACATCATTTCACACGGAACCAGCATGAACATGTATGAGCCCATTCACATTAGCCAAGCACCCTTAGGGAAAGATGTCATGTGGGGTGGCTAGATGGCATTTATGTTGATCAGCTGTCGTTTGGGAATGAACTGAGACTTTAGCTGCCTTCTCTGACAAACCGGAGGTGTAACACTCTCCCAAATGAAAAACTATTGCTTGTTAGAAACGCTGGCAATTGTATTTCTTCATGTGGTCACCGCCCTGCTTCTAATGCATTTTCCTCGTGTTCGCTATAGGGAGATAGAGTTATTCTTCTCAAGAGAGTCGATCAGAACTGGTACGAAGGTAAAATCCCAGGGACCAGCAGACAAGGCATCTTCCCTGTTTCCTACGTGGAAGTGGTGAAGAGGAACACAGCCAAAGGCGCCGAGGACTACCCCGACCCTCCCATACCCCACAGCTACTCAAGCGACAGGATCCACAGCTTAAGTTCCAACAAGGTAAGAGGACGCTCAGCATATTAGGACACATGGGAGCTTGGAGTAAGATAATAAGTGATATTTGGTCCTTAAGAAGATCATCTTTCCTGCAAAGCTTTACATGTTATGCCTCCAAGTTTGAGTGACAAGTCAATATAATTTTTTTTATGGGTGTTGGCATAAGGGTTTAATGCTTGATTTTGAGAATTCCACTTTTGAGTTAAAATATCGAAAGAGAAAAATTAGTATCATAAGAAACCATATTGTGGATAAGTATACCTGCTTTCTGAAACTCGGGTTTTTTGAAAGGTGATTTTTTTCTAAAGCTTAATTTTATATATGTATTTTATATATTTTATATAAAATACTTAATTTTATATATTAAGTGGATTATATACATATGTATGTATGCATATATATATATGCACCTACATATAAATCAATAGATCCCAAAATGGTTCATTTCAAAGTAGATGGTAATTAGGTTGAAAAATTCTGTAGCAGTCTTAAGCTATTTTAATAAAGAGAAATAGAGTAAAATTTTTAAATTAAGATCTGTAAGTCAATTTTTTGATTAGACTGAATGAAAATGTCATTGGTCATCAGGTGCCCTCGTGTGTATTTCATAGTTTTAGGATAATTATGTACCAGTTCTACTATCTCACTTGAGCTAGTGGCTGAAGGTAATTATCTTTCTCCATATCTGGTCTTAAAGGAACTTTGCTCCCTGAACTGGTTAATTAGAAAGGGCCATTCTACTTTCTTTACTCACAGTGCAAATTTTTTTTTTCTTAATTTTCTGTGAAGTTATAATATAGTGTGTTCTTCTTACGGATAGTATTTAGGGATTTCTTTCACCTTTTCGTTAACCTCCAAGTATAAAATTTAATTTACCAAGGAATTAGTTGCAAAATATTGTAAGTACTTCTGAACATTTAAAAAGTGTATGATGTTGCATAATTTTATTGATTACATTAATAAATAATTAAGATCAAGGCTAGGACATGGGAAATAAACCATCTAGAGCCAGCAACATAACATCAGCATCAGATGTTGTACAGTCATTTCATGTTCCAATGCGAGTCCACCTCAAGTAGCACCCCAGGGCCCTAACCCTCTCCTTGAAAATGAGTCTTAGGAGGACTTCACAAAAGCAAATAATCTAAGATCTCCTATCTCCTATTTCAAGAGAAGTGTTTTCTTTAAAAGGGCAAAGATTGGCATTGTATTCATTCTACTTCTTTTTGAAGTTTCCATTGCGGGATAATTATTCTCAATCCATTATCATTGGGTAATGGAACCATTTGGTACTGTCCAATTTTGGTTGACTGGTTATAAAGTTTTCCAGAATCTTCTTCAGAATATTTATTTCACTACCAGAGCTTAGCACTTAGAAAACAACATTCTTCCTTTAATAGTTCCTATTGATAAATGGAAAGATAAGAATCCTCATCTGCATATTTGGCTTACCTACTATTCAGTTATCTTAAATGAACTACCAAATAAATTTCAAAGCAACTGTACCTTCAAATAAAATTATATAAGAAAGAATAAGCATGTATCTCTACAAAGGCTTATTTTAACACTTAAGAAATTCTTTCATAATGTCCCAATTAATATTGGCAATGTAATATTTTAGATCACAGTGTTTTAATCTTTGTTGTGAATATGATTTAAATATATTTTCAGTTTCCTAAGTTTTTTCTTAGAACACCGTATTTTAAATTTTATAAATAGAGAAATGTACAAATTTTATTAATAACTAATTAGTGTTTTATTCTCACTGCTGGGGAAAATATGTTGAAAATCTTATATCCATAATTTGGAAAAAAATTCTTAATGGTTTTATTCTCTCTGGTAATCTGTGCTCTGATATTGGCTCAATAAAGAAAACTCCTCCATAGTGTAGAATGCTATCATTTTCAGAAAAAGAACTATAATGTACTTCTACACAACAATATACAATGTATGTTACATATCCTATTTTCTAACTGATATTTGCAAATAAAGGAAGGGATTTAAGTGATTTATGAATCACTCTTTGACACACTCACTCACATTTCTTGTGATACTGTATTTCAGGAGTGGCTCAAATATAAGTAGATAATATTTCTGATATTCTTGCTTTTTGCATAGTAGAATCCAATTCTAATGATTTTTGTATAATTAGGTATATTTTTGTGATATGGTATCCCAGGATATTTAATTTGACTTTCAGTGGAAATTCATCCATTATAAAGCTAAGTGTTTTGGACCTGTTAAACATAGATTAGTGACTATGGTGATAATGACACTGCAATAGTAATGGTGATCGGGATAGAATTTAAAGATCTTCCTCATCCACATAATATTCCTGACCATGAGAGGAAGTGCAAGTGAAAAGCAATCATCTTGAGTTTATTATATATCTCACAGGCTTTCAAAATCTATTCTTGTGTTGCATAGCATAGAGCACACAGTAGGACTCTGGCCAATAAGGGAACTTCTCTAGACCATCAAATAAGACTTAGCTCATTTCTATCTTATTAAAAGTTAAATATATACAGGACTTGCTAGGAATGTCTGTCTATCTAGTAATAGACCAAGTGTAGAGTATTTCTTTGTATGAGGTGCTAAGAAGCTATAGTCCTGAATCTTCTGTAGGATGCTCACATGAGTTTTGTGACACTTTGTCTCATTTATCCCACCACATGGTGACATGGCATATTTGCTTTAAAAAAAAAAATACACACACACACACACACACACACACACACACACACAGCTAAATAAATTCTATAAATGCCCATTCCTATTATAGGACACAGAAGTCAAAGCTTAATTGGGGGTGTGTTGTGCTTATACTAAGGCCCCGGCCCCCAGAGTGCTGAGTGCAGAACCACCAACTCACCCTGAACAACCAACCAGCAAGCACATCTCCATACTCTTTCTTTTTTTTAAATATATTTTATTGATTTTTTTGCAGAGAGGAAAAGAGAGGGATAGAGAGTCTGAAACATCGATGAAAGAGAAACACTGTTCAGCTGCCTCCTGCACACCTCCTACTGGGGATATGCCCACAACCAAGGTACATGCCTTGACCGGAATGGAACCTGGGACCCTTCAGTCCACAGGCCAACGCTCTATCTACTGAGCCAAACCGGTTAGAGCTCCATACTCTTTCTTAAACATTTTTTCTTTCCAAACTAAAATCACTCCCTGGGAAGAACTAAAGTAAAACGTTGGTAATGGGGAGATGAGGACAAATATGTAATACCTTAACCAATAAAGAAATTAAAATGCAAAGAAATTTTTTTTTAATAAATAAAGTAAAATGTTACCCACCAGCCTCTCTCAGGGCCTTCACATGCACGGCATGAACCATCCTTTCCAGCCCAGTAGCAATAGGTACAGGTATTAGAATGTTACTAGGCAGCTCTTCTAGACCTCTGAATGAATTTACATCTGTTCACTATATCTAAAACATAGCAATAATATTAAGATACACAGGAGTCTACTTTTACTCAGAAGATTCCGCTTCAATTATACCTCCCCGAGTTTACATAAAATGTCAAGCTACTGAGAGAGATGGGAGTCCAGCAGAAGATTTTTCCCCACTAACATCATATGCTCCCTTCCAATGTAATCACTTACTTTGAATTTTTTAAAAACTTTGAAGTCAAAAATAATAACAAAATGAAAACTTTGAAGAATTAGTGTAAGTTCAGTTTCATTCTGATCATGGGTTTCTGTTCTCAAAACATAGTTTTCCAAACTTACTCACTTAGAAATGTGTTCGTGTATAAAGATGGAAAAATATGGTATGCCATATGTTATAATCGCCTGGCAAACCTAGGTGAGAAAATCAGGGAAGTCCATAGGAGTGGGTCCTGCTTCTGACAGCAGGAACACATCACAGATCCGGCAGCTGAGAAAGGTTTAATTATTGGCTTTCATTCCACACTAATGTCATTTCAAAGTCATTTCTAGTACTAAGTCCCCATCTGGGAACCTCGTTTAAAAGAGGTAGTCTGCTTGTTAAATGAAATTAAATCTCTTAAGGTTTCACTGTCTATCCTTATCAATGCTATGACAGCTCTGTTTTGTCATTTGACACTGAAGACCCCTTCCGAATAGGAGAGTTTCATTTCCCAAATAAATTTCTAATTAACATGCTAGTGGTTTTATGTGAGAAAAATTCAGCAAAATATCTTCACCTCTATAAAATATTGTTCTGTATTCACTGCCTTTCCTGCATTTCTGTCTCTGTGTTTTGATACACTGTCGTTATTTTCTTGGTTTCTTCCTTTCTTTTGCTTGACATTCCCTGCTCATTTTTAAGTTGGCTCTCAGTGAACCAGCCCCTGCTCTCACGCACAGAGCTTCTCCTGGCCCAGATAACGGAGCTCACCAGGGGCCTACCCAGGGGTGGCCATCCCTGACAGCTCAGTGTCCTCCAGCAAACCCTTTGATTCCTTTCTTGGACAACTTCTTGGATGAATTAGAGAAGCTTAGTGCTTTCACCTTACCAGATGACCAAGCCGCGCCAAATATCCCAGAGGAGATCACTCTTGAAATTAAAGAGGAACCCTCAGTTTCCCTCCCATCGCCTCCAGCAGCTGTACCTGCCAAATCACCTTCCCCTCGGCCACCTTTATGTGGTACAGGTGCAACCTCAACTGCAGTCCAGCCCTATGAGACAACGCCAGTCCAGGATCCCAGAAAGACAACTCAGAACAAGAGTGCGGACTTGACAACAATGAGAAAAGGCGTTGCAAGCCTTGAAAAGGCATCTGAAGTCCTAGGGGATAAGTTTGTGGCCTCTGCACACACTAATGTGGCTCCCTTGCCCCAAACCCTCCCTGTCATTGGAGAGGAAGAGGAGGAACTCTGTGAGGGGGTGATGGCAGGCATCCGAGGAGGGCTTGAATTTCAAGACCCAGATGCCTGGTGGTGGAGCCATGATGGCCCCAAGGTGACACCGAGCCTGTACATCGAAGAGGAGGAAGAGGAGAGGAAACCTGGCTGCTCACAGGGTGCAG